CAAAATTACATATAGCAAAACAGTTATCAAGCAAGAATTACAGTTACAATATTTATATCTATTTTATCTTTTATCATAACAATGGAAAACTATAACTACCTATCCATTCTTCAACTTCATCAAAGACTCCAGAAGGATATAATATTACCTAAGTAAACAAGAAATCCAAAGCTCTAGAAATGACAGAGACATCTCACTGCCTGGACAGTCACCCAAAGTTCTTTTGTACCGTTGGGACATCCATCTTCAGCCTTCAGGCCCAAAGTATCCATCAGACATTTTCATCAAGCAGGAAATTCGAAAGACAGTTCAGTCACTTTCTGCTGTGTCCTGCAGAATGTCTCGCAGACTCTTTCATGAGTCAGGAACCCCGAAAGACCATCTCACCTTTAGGCAAGTTCAGCAGTCCTCTCTCTGTGAGTTCTCTTTGTCCAGTTCATGCAACAGTCCAGGCAAGAGCAGTTTCTTGCCCAAATGGCTATCAAACTCCATAACGATCCTCTTTGATGCCCATCTTCCTCTCGAAGTAGATTGGTGCTGCCAGGAGCAGACATGTCTCATTGTCATGAAAAGTCCTAAGTTATTAAAATATTTTAAATGCCATATTCTGTAGCCTTTGAGAGATATGAAGAATGCCTATCTGAAGTATATTTCTATATATCTAGAAAATCTAAGTAACATGACTACAAACTTGACTATTATTTATGATTATCCATCAACAACCTATATTTCCTAATTATACATTACATTTTAAAAATGAACTATACAATCATACCTTATTCAAGATCAAAAATACATATACATATAACAAAATTTACCTTAAAATCCATACCAATGCAAATTATTCATACCTATATCATATCCCCCTTTAAATGTAAAAGAACATTTATAAACAATATTTTGGGAACATGGGCGCAATTTTTTCTCTCCAAACTGCTTCCTGCTGAATGGGGGCGCTGTTAATCAGATCATTTAGGGTGTAACCTGTGTGCCAGGTTTATCTCAGTTGGCAGTTGAGTGAAGTTATTTTTTGAGGGTGTTCACAGGAACTTTTCGGTAGGTCGTGGTCTATCATACCATATAGGGATAGATGCAATCCACAGGGTCTGGTCCTCTGTGAAAACAAAAGAAGACCCTTTCCAAAGCATCATATCCTTAGACCCAAATTCTGAAATCGTAATACCCTTATATCCATTGTGGTTTAGTTTGGCAACCCATGTAATGAAATGTCTCTCTGTACTTAGCTCCTTCACAGTCAAAAATTTTAAAGAAAACACAATGTACATAATCCAGACTCTCTGTGAATTTTCCATTTTTACATGGCTTATTTTTCTTTATTTCTCTTAATCTATAACTATCTGTACTCTGTCTCTTTAAAGACTTTACCTTTTTTTAAAAGCATTAACTTTATTCTCTATATTCTTTTTCTTCTCTCTCTCAAGCCTATGTACATTCATCCAACACTGTGGTCTTTTATGTCTGAATCTGTTTTATTGTGAATCTGTAACATTTTTTTTTTTTTTTTTTAGTATCCAGGATCATTTCTTAAAACATTAAGCAGTTCTTAAAAACTTAAGTTGCACCATGTAGGGGTAATACGGTACTGCCTGTTTACTGCCAAGTCTAAACCTTGATTGCACTGTTTTTTACCGTAATTACGGTAGTTCCTGCCTGAGACCAGCACAGTTCATCATGGTGGAGCTGAGCAGCTCCTGCCTCAGAGTCATTTGGTGCCCCTGAGCCACACACAGTTCCAGGCACACAGCAGTCCACATTGCCATCAACCAAGCCGTAGCACATTACTCCAAATGCTCCATTCAAAAGCTCTGTCTCCCGCAGGATCCAGACAGAGATCACAATGGCAGCACAGCCCAGAAAGCCGACATTTTAAAACAGCCAGTTTTTTCCTGCTGCTGAATCAGGACAATTTCTTTGCAGCACGCAACCCACCAACAGCAAAACGTTGTCTTAAATTCTCTCTCTCTCTCCTTTTTAAGCCCTCTCAGGTTTTACATGGAGTTCATTAGCACGTTGGGTGCCACTCTGTAGTAGTAGGGGCGGCGGGGCTCCCGGCCGCCACCATGGCTAGCTTTACCTGAAATAATTACACGGAAACTGTATTCTTTTAAACACCGCTTGGCCCATTTCTATCTAGCCGCTTCTAGGCTAGCTCTCGCACCTGGACTAGCCCATTTCTAATAATCTGCTGTAGCCCACGAGCTGGCTTACCAGGAATGATCTTAACCTGTGTCTGCCTGGAGTGGGAAAATCATGGCGACTCCTTGACTCAGCTTCTTTCTCCCAGAATTCTGTTCTGTTTACTCCGCCTACCTATGTTTTAACCTATGAGGGCCAGCCAAGCAGTTTCTTTATTGCTTAACCAATGAAATAAACAGATTGATATATGACACTCCAACATCAAGGCCACACTGTCCTGTGTCATAAGGCCACACTGTCCTGTGTCATAAGGCCGTGCTGTCCTCTGTCATAAGGCCGTACTGTCCTCTGTCATAAGGCCGTGCTGTCCTCTGTCATAAGGCCATGCTGTCCTCTGTCATAAGGCCACGCTGTCATGTGTCATAAGGCCACATTGTCCTGTGTTATAAGGCCATGCTTTCCTGTGTCATAAGGCCGTGCTGTCCTCTGTCATAAGGCCACACTGTCCTGTTTCATAAGGCCATGCTGTTCTATGTCATAAGGCCACGCTGTCCTGTGTCATAAGGCCGTGCTGTCGTCTGTCATAAGGCCGTGCTGTCCTCTGTCATAAGGCCACGCTGTCCTGTGTCATAAGGCCACGCTGTCCTGTGTCATAAGGCCACGCTGTCCTGTGTCATAAGGCCACGCTGTCCTGTGTCATAAGGCCATGCTGTCCTGTGTCATAAGGCCACAGTGTCCTGTGTCATAAGGCCACACTGTCCTGTGTCATAAGGCCACGCTGTCCTGTGTCATAAGGCCGTGCTGTCGTCTGTCATAAGGCCACGCTGTCCTCTGTCATAAGGCCACGTTGTCCTTTGTCATAAGGCCACGCTGTCGGGTGTCATAAGGCCACAGTGTCCTGTGTCATAAGGCCACGCTGTCCTCTGTCATAAGGTCGTGCTGTCCTGTGTCATAAGGCCACACTGTCCTCTGTCATAAGGCCAAGCTGTCCTGTGTCATAAGGCCATGCTGTCCTGTGTCATAAGGCCACGCTGTCCTGTGTCAGAAGGCCACGCTGTTCTGTGTCATCAGGCCGTGCTGTCCTGTGTCATTAGGTCGTGCTGTCCTCTGTCATAAGCTGGACTTGTTTTATTACTGTTATTACCATTAGCACATAAATAACAGCTAAAACTATTTTGTGTGGTACATCTATGTGTTAGTTTCCTGACACCTGAGTTTACGACTTTTGATTTGTCCTAATGCCAATAAAGTAGAAATAATAATAAAACATTCTTTTATAACTTCCAATACCAAAGTAACCCTCAAAAACCTGTTTATATAGAAAATGAAAGAATGTATTTTAAGAAGAAAATACTATGTGGCTCCCAAACCACTGGACACACAAGATAAAGAAAGTGTTTAGAAAATTCATTGATTTCAACAACAAAAAGGAAAGGGTATCAGGGAGATTGGGGAGGTGGCTATGTTTGTAGACTGCTTATCCAGGCAGGAGAAAAACTTCTGTTCCACTGACCAATGCAAGAGGACACTGAGTTCCCTCTTGCCATGGTTCACCTTATTCAAAATCACCGAAGAACCATCCCTCAGGGTGGGTACCTGGAACACAGTGTTATTCAAGCATGCAATGACTTAACCTGAAGAAATCACCTTCTGTGTCTTAGAGAGGATGGCCAACCCCAAAGCCATGCTAGGATATTATTCCACAGGAAGTGAAGGACAGGACTCTTCCACCCACTTTCTGGACACAGGTCACTGAGGTCAGGCCCCACCCTCAGAAATGCTTCCTACCCTGGGAAGTTGGCCTCCTTCCCCTGAGGACCCTTCGGGGCCAGATCCATGAACAAAGGCCCACTACCTGCCTAGGAGAAGGGAAGTCAATCTATACCCTATCTCAAGACCCTGATCTAAAGGTAATGAGGTTTGGTCTTTGGGGTCCTTCTTGGAGTATGAGGGGAAGCAGAATCCCTTCATGGAGTCACAAGCCACCCTGCTCTTATGGCCAGGTCAGGGGACAGCCCCACCTGAAGTCCTCAGCAGGGTGAGTGGCTGCCTCCACATTCCAGCTTCCCTTGCAGCGAGGTATGACCCTGTGACCAAGTCTAGATCTGTTGGAGGAGAGAGCTGCTTGTTGGTTCCTGGCTTCTCAGCCCCGAAATAACCACACAGAAACTGTATTATGTATTTTGTTTGGTTTTTTTTTTTTTTTTTTGGTTTTTCGAGACAGGGTTTCTCTATGGTTTTGGAGCCTGTCCTGGAACTAGCTCTTGTAGACCAGGCTGGTCTCGAACTCACAGAGATCCGCCAGCCTCTGCCTCCCGAGTGCTGGGATTAAAGGCGTGTGCCACCACCGCCCAGCTCAGAAACTGTATTATGTAAATCACTGCTTGTCCCATTAGTTCTAGCTTCTTAATGGCTAACTCTTACATATTAATTTAACCCATCTCCATCAATTTGTGTATCATCACGTAGCAGTAACTTACTGGCAAAGTTTGGCATATCTGACTCTGGTGGCACATCCATCACTTCTCTCTTTGACTTTGCCATCTTTCTCCCAGCATTCAGCCTAGCTTTCCCTGCCTACTTAAGTTCTGCCTTGCTATAGATCCAAAATAGTTTCTTTATTCATTAATGGTAATCACAGCACACAGAGGGGACTCCCACATCACAGATCAAGTTGTAGGTAATAGATGGGTGGAAGTACCTTGTTCAGCCTCTAGAAGTTTCCTCCAGGGCTGCTTCATTCTCTTCTAGTAACATGGAAGTGATGGCTGGTTTTCAGAAGCTATTTGGGACTGTGAAGTTTGGATCCCAGGGTTCGGTGGAAAGCTAGATTCCCAGTGACTATGGTGCTGGTAACTCCCCCAGACATGGATGCAGGGTGTGCTTGGTGGGTCAGTCAGTCCTTCACTTTGACACACACCTGAGATAAGCCATTCATTCAGAGGTTTCAACCCACAGGCAGCTGTTTATATAGGTCCATTGCTGTGGACCTCTAGTGAGGTCAGAAATAGAGACAGAAGCAAGGAAGAAGGAAGCAGAGAGAGATCAAGAACCCAGGTGCAAGCTACAGCCTGTAAAGTTCTGCCCCCAGAAACCTATTTTCTCCAATCAGGCCCCACCTTCCACAGTCTCCACCTCCTCCCACTGGCATACCCATCATGAATGTATTGGTGGATCAATCTTTCAATTAGCTCATGATGCAATCATTTTTCCTGTTTGAACCACTCTTTCTTGAGTCTCTGGTGCCTACACAAACTTAGTTCTGACAGTAGGCATGTGACTGAGGGGCCCTCTCTAGGAGTAGGCAGGGTAGAGTTTCTCTAGAGTAGAAAGTTCTCAGTTCCACCCTCTAGAGGCCCACTCAGTCCTGAGGTGGGGGTGGGGTGCTCAGAACACAGAGGAAGTGGATCGAAAGGGAAGCAACAGACCAGAGAGGAGGCAGGTGCCCGCACAAGAAAAGCCTGCAGACAGTGACTGCAGCCACGATGGACAAGCCCGGGTGCCCAGAGGTAAGTACCAGCCAGGCCAGGGTCAGACAGAGGGCCCCCCACAGCCCCATCTTCCCAGCTCTCCAGATCCCACAAACCACCCAGATTGGCCTGCAGACAACCACTCCTTGCACGACTGGATATCAGGGTCTCCAGTAACTAGGCAGCCAAGTCCTGTCCCAGCCAGGGGCCTACATCTTAGCCCACAGGGCAGGAACTCCAACCTTAGGGAGGCTCAAAGACCCAGCTCCCAGCTTACCCCACTCCTGAGATGCCAGGACCAGACGGTGATTCTCTCTAGACAGACATCCCCATCCAAGGGGTGAAGGGTCCACAGAACCCAAAGATGGTACAGAGCTTCAGCTACCTAGAGCCGCCCTTCATGTCTCCCCTCCCCCGGCCCCAGCAGCTCTCAGTGGCCAGAAGAAGGTCAGGACTCTGTGACTCTTGGAAGCCCTCTATTAGGGCCACCGTGTTCTTGCCTTTCTGTCAGCCCAGCTACTTTAGGGGGTGAGAACATTTCTCCCAGAGGAGCCAGGAAGTGGGCCAGCGGCTCCTTGAGGGGTATCCCTGGTGAACCTGGCCCAGAATCTCCCCTGGAAGGTATAAAGATGGGTTGAAGTCAGAAGCTGGGCTTTCAGATCTGTCCCTGGGAGTTAGAGTTGGGGTTGCTCCAGGAGCATAAGTGCTCCTCGGGGGTGGAAGTGACCTCTTGACTCCTTTCTTTGGGAAATTCTGGTAAGAGGGTGCTGGGCCTCTGTGGGTGACCCTGCCTCAGCACCCCCACAACTTCATGCTCTCACTGTGGTTTCTAGGCTCCACTTCCCTGTAACACTGTGCTCCAGGGGAGACAGCCTCAGGCCTGGCTCATGTAGTCCACCCCCCATATCGAGCCTAGCCACATTCTCTGTAGGCTGCCATCAGCACAACTCCTAGTGGTCAGTGCCATGGAGCCTACTTACCCACAGAGCTGAGAAGCCCCCAGATTGCAGCACCCAGCCACCTACAATCCTACAATGCCCTAGGCCCCAAGCAGCATCCAGGCTGAGAATGATGTCAGCTCCTGTCCTCTGGGTGACCCATTTGCTGTGGCAGGATTTCCCCGTGTGAGGTGGCCTCCTGAGGAACTGCACTGGCTCTTTGAAGAGTGACCACCTCGAGAGCACAAAGCAGGTTCTCCATCCCAACTAGCCGCAACATCCCTCCCAGTCCCCTGCCCTGGACAGCAGTGCAGGGGTCCAGACTCAGCTCTTGGTGGCCCTTCTGCCGTGCTCTACTTTCCAGCCAGCTGCCCATCCTGAGGCCAACATAGGGGGCCAGCTGGGGAAGGGAAGCAGATATTCATGGCTAATAAGGAAGAATGGATGAGGCAGCCAAAGCAGAAATGGTTCTTTCAGACCTGGTTTCACCATTGTTGGAATAAGGAACTGAGAGTCACTCAAGACACCCGCATCAGGGGAGATCAAGGGGAGCAGTGGGGACAAGCAGCACACAGCCTGCTGGGATCCACAGGCAGCCACATCTATAGACCAGATGCCTGGGGTGTGGAGTCTGGGCTGGTCCCGTGTCTGAGCTGTGACTGGCATCTGAGTGTTGGAGTGTGCATCTGTATGGTGCAGGGACTGCCCTGAGAGGTGACACCATGGAGCTGGGGCTGCTGGTGACACACATTGTTCTGTATAGATGCTGATACCTCTCCAGGTAGCAGTGGAGGTCTCCGAGTGGCCACGCTCTGCTTCACCGCATGGTCCACACAGCAGAGCTGTCATGGTAGGACAGGAACCTAAGGGAAGGCTGGCTGGGAACTCAGCATTCTACAAACAAGTTTGAACCCAATTTCCAATCAGAACCATGTTCAAATTTTCCTTTTAAGTTTCCTGGGGCTTGATTTAAAAGTGCAAAACAGGTCTGGTGTTGGAGGTGGTGATGGTGGTGATGGTGGTGGTGGAGGTGGTGGAGGTGGTGGTGGTGGTGGTGGTGGTGGTGGTGGTGGTGGAGGTGGAGGTGATAATGGTGGTGGTGGTGGTGGTGGTGGTGGTGGAGGTGGTGGTGGTGGAGGTGGTGGTGGTGGAGGTGGAGGTGGTGGTGGTGGAGGTGGAGGTGGTGGTGGTGGTGGTGGTGATGGAGGTGGAGGTGATAATGGTGGTGGTGGTGGAGGTGATAATGGTGGTGGTGGTGGAAGTGGTGGAGGTGGTGGTGGTGTGTGTCAGGCCAGACTGAGTTCACCTGGACTTCTTAGCTTGTCCATGCCTCATCACTGCAGAGAGGACCATAGGGAGGACCCTGTCTAGACTTTGCTCTCTGTGTCCCTCACACCCTTGCTCACCCCTGATCCCTCCCCAGAAGCCTAGGCATTATCTCTTATAGCATAGGGAGGGTTGCCTTGACTGTTGAGAAGGCTGTGGGGATATCTCCTCCTGCAGGTACTAGGGTTGCTGGCTGTACTGGGGCTCAGCTTCACGACTATCACCTTGTTCCTGGGGCAAGATCCCATGTCTCTCACCAGTCATCAGATGTGCCCTAAGGAAGTGCCCTCCCAGTCCTGGGAGGTCCTGGGAGGAGACACTGGGCAGCAGAGGAACTCCTGTCGGTGAGTGAACACTAGGGGCTCTCTTGGCGTTGTGGGGTCTGTGTCTTGGCTGAGTGCATCCCTGAGCAGGTGATACAGGCCACAGAGTGACCTTGATTATCCCAGGATGGAACCTGGGAATTCCTTGTGGCCCCTTCTAAGTTAAGCATGCCCCCTCTCCCAGGATCCTCCCTGCATATTCTCCTAGTTATCACCACGCTTAGGGTTTGTGGGACTCAGGCTAACCCTCTCACACCATTGTCCCCTCTCTGCACCTATGTCCACCCTGGGCAGCAGGAATGGGGCCCCTATAGTCATACCTGGGTGCCTTTCGGTTCTGCCCTCAGGCTGGTCCTCGTGGAAAGCCTCCCTCAGGACCTGCCGTTTGCGTCTGGAAGCCCCGCTGCCCAGCCCCTGGCTCAGGCTTGGATGCAGCTTCTAGACTCTGCTCGGGAGAGTGTCCATGTCGCCTCATACTATTGGTCCCTCACTGGACCCGACATCGGAGTCAATGACTCCTCTTCCCAGCTGGTTGGTCCTTGGTTTTGCTTTCTGACTGTGAGGCTGTCTCAGCTCCCCTGGTGCTAAGTGCTCAGAAAGTCAGGCTTCTGTCTACACAGGGCTCAGCCGGACCCAAGGCTCAGTCTGGGCTGGGGGTGGTGGAGAGCAAGGCGCTGGGTGGCTCTTGGGGGCAGGGGAAGAGGGACTGGGGATAGAACACTTGGTTGTGTATGGTGTCATTTATTTGGCTTCTAGTCATGGGTCAAGATTTGGCAGAGGACCAGCCTGGGGCAGCATCTCATTCTAGCCTGGTGTTTCAGGGAGAGGCCCTTCTACAGAAGTTTCAACAGCTGCTGGTCAGAAACATCTCCCTGTCAGTGGCCACACACAGCCCAACACTGGCCAGGACATCCACTGACCTCCAGGTCTTAGCTGCCCATGGTAGGTGTCTGCAGTCTGGGGCTCTGATGCACTGTGTGGCTGGCCCCATGGGACAAAGTCAAAGACTAGCAGGATTGCAAGGGGCGTGGAAAAGCTTCTCTATTTGTTAGGACCCTGGAGGACTTGAGCCCAGGGCCCACAGGGCAGAGAAGGGGCACTTAGATAAAGCCTTGGCATTGCGGCTACAGTGAAAAACACAAGGCAGTAGGCAGAACCATCATCAGGCTCTAGAACTGCGCTGCCTAGATGAGTCTCAGGTCAACCTGTGCGTTCATTTCCTCACCTGCAACAGCCTTGGTCAGAAAAGTCATCCTGAGGGTAAATGAATGAACTCAAAGGTACATCTCTAAGGTGGTCCTGAAGTCAGCATTAAAGAGCCAGCTCTCTCTCTTTCTATCTATCTATCTATCTATCTATCTATCTATCTATCTACTATTTATCTATCTTCTATTTATTTATCAATCATCTATCTACCTATCTATCATCTATCATCTATCTATCTATCTATCTATCTATCTATCTATCTATCATCTCTCTATCTACTACCTATCATCTATCTATCATCTATCTATTATCTATCTATCATCTATATATCTATCTGTCTATCTATCATCTTTATATCATCTACCTATCATCTATCTATCTATTATCTATCTATCATCTATCTACCTACTATCTATCTATCTATCTATCTATCTATCTATCTATCATCTATCATCTCTCTATCATCTATCTTATTTATCACAGGTGCCCAGGTCCGACAGGTTCCCATGAGGCACTTTACTGGAGGTGTCCTACACTCCAAATTCTGGGTCGTGGATGGGCAGCACGTCTTCGTGGGTAGTGCCAACATGGACTGGCGGTCCCTGGCTCAGGTGAGTTCCAAGACCCAGAGATGGGAGGCCCCAGACGCAGTCTCTCCCCTCTCTGTCTCCAGGGGCTATGTTTGTGCCCTCAGGCATCCCAAGAAAGCTGCTATTGTGGGAAGCCAGCAGGCAGAAACTTGGATCGCATGCCACTTTTGTCATGCCTCCATAGCAGGGACCAATTGCAGAGCTGTCTTCTCCAGTTGTAAGATTTCTCATGACCCTGCACTCGGGCCCTGGAGCAGCATTTAGGACCCATGTCGGGCATGGTAGCAAACACTTGCAGTCCCAGTGGGAAGTGGAGACTGGCGGATTCCTGGCGCACGCTGGCCAGCCGGCCTATCAGCAAGCCCCAGGTCCCAGTGAGAGACCTTGTCTCAAAAAACAAGATGGAGGGCTGAAGAGATGGTTCATCAATTAGGAGCAATGGCTGATCTTCCAGAAGGCAGAGGTTCAATTTCCCATCAGCCACATGGTAACTCACAATAAACTATAATTCTAGTTCCAGGGGATCCGATGCCTTCTTCTGGCCTCTGTAAGCAGCGGCACACACAGACATGTATGTAGGAAAAACATAGTCATACACATATAGTAATAATAGTAAAACTAAGGTGTACCCTCTGGAAGTATGACACCTAAGGTTGTCTTCTGGCTTCCATCCATGCACATGTACCTGCACACACGGACACTCTTGCTCATATGTGCATACACATCCCCCAAAGAAAGTGCAGACTACAAGGACTGAGGCTTGTAGGAAGTGATGTGTTTCAAAGGCTTGAGTTGTGGCTCAGTAGAATAATATGTGAGTAGCACCACACATTCCTAGGTTCAATCTGTATCAACATGTGTGTGAGTGCACACATACACACACAGCTGTTAGTGCAAATGGCAGGTGGAAACCTAGCCTCAGGAGTTACTACCTGACTGAATTTAACGGCGGGTTTCTTTCCTGGGTGCTTTCAAGTGTTTTCTGCTGTATTTGCTTTGAGCACTGGAACCGCGTTAAGGAAAACAGGGACCCTGGTACCCTTATTCCACCCTGGAGTTGATGCTGCCTAGTGGCTGCCAGCTGATCAGGAATTGCACCCCGTCTTACACCCCGGGGGGTTCTACACAACCCCAGAAGATCTTTGCTCTCCGTGTCTCCTGACCCTGACCTCTGCAGGTGAAGGAGCTGGGTGCTATCATCTACAATTGCAGTCAGCTGGCTCAGGATCTTGAGAAGACATTCCAGACCTACTGGGTGCTAGGGACTCCCCGAGCTGTTCTCCCTAAAACCTGGCCCCGGAACTTCTCATCTCACATCAACCGCTTCCATCCCTTGCGAGGTCTCTTCGATGGGGTTCCCACCACAGCCTACTTCTCGGTAAGACAGCTAACCCAAAATGGCCCTGGGGCTGCTGCCAAAGGCAGACCCCACTCCAGGACAGGAAGCTGGGCCAGCACTGGCAGTGAGAGAGAGGTGCCAGACTTGAGGGCCTAGGAATCTCCAGGCTGTTGAGGGGGTTTGGGGCCATGAGGCAGTGGCTGGGCACTGGGGAGGGCAGGGGAAGCCCAGAGCACTGATTACTCTTTACTCTGAGGGAACGAAGGCAACCTACCCTCTGCCATGCCCAGGAAAGCCCCAAGTCAGCCCAGACACTGGGAGACCTCATCTGGAGAGAGATCTTCTTTCCAGGCAGGACAGCCTCTGAACACTTGGGCCCAGGATGCCTAGCTGCTTCGGCACCTCCTACCCAGGCCGCAGGGCATTGGGAAACTGCCTCTCTCCCCACATGGGATTTCTTAGAGTCTCACAGGGCGTGCAGCATGTGCAGTGGGGTCACGAACCCAAAAAAAGCCTGATTCAAGGGTGATAGTTAGGGGGCAGTCTTCTGAGAGATGCTTCTCCCACGTCAGGCCTCACCACCCTCTCTCTGCCCTCATGGCCGGACCCGGGATCTGGATGCAGTGCTGGAAGCCATGGCGGATGCCCGTGAGTTCATCTACGTTTCGGTGATGGAGTATTTCCCTACCACACGCTTCACCCACCCTGCAAGGTGGGTCTGGATGAGGTCCACCCTCCTGGTTGGCTACTCCTAGGCAAGGCACAGTTCACCTCCATCCTGACTTCAGGCAGAACACTAACGCCCCCCCTTCTAGGTACTGGCCTGTACTGGACAGTGCGCTACGAGCAGCGGCCTTCGATAGGGGTGTGCATGTGCGTTTACTGGTCAGCTGCTGGCTCAACACAGACCCCACCATGTTCACTTATCTGAGGTCCCTGCAGGCATTCAGTGACCCCTCAGCTGGCCTCTCAGTGGATGTGGTAAGAGACTGACCTTATGGAATGGGGGCAAAGCATGGACTTTCTCCCACCCTGCATACTCTAACTTGCTCCTATTCCCGGAAGAAAGTCTTCGTCGTGCCTGTGGGCAATCACTCCAACATCCCATTCAGCCGCGTGAACCACAGCAAGTTCATGGTCACAGACAAGGCAGCCTATATAGGTGAGTGCCTGGGATGGAGCATGGGAGGACAGAGGGCTAGACAAGAGAGGTGCACTCGAGTGTTTTGGGGAGCACTCATTAGCCCAGCTTGCCAGCTGAGGCTGGTGGAAAGCCGACTGCCCTACATGAGCGGCTGCCCTAGCTGCAGTCTGACGACACCGGAGTAGCCACAGCGCCGGGCAGACTGCAGGGGACATAGGCTCAGGGAGCAGTGTCTCTCCCTCCAGGTACCTCTAATTGGTCAGAAGACTATTTCAGCAGCACCTCTGGTGTGGGCCTGGTTGTCAGTCAGATGATCCCTGGTGCCCAGCCAGGCGCGACCCCGGTACAGGAGCAGCTGAGGCAACTCTTCGAACGTGACTGGAGTTCCCGCTACGCTATGGGCCTGGACGGAGTCCCGAGCCAGGACTGTGTCTGGCAGGGCTGAGGCTTGACCCCTTGACTCTGGCCTGTTGCTCTAGTGAACACCATGCTCTCATTCACTGAGAAAGCGAAAGGCCGGCACTCGGAGCCTGAGATTGTCATCTGGCAAACAGCTGCCAACAGGGCTCTAAAGTGAAGGAGAGGCTGAGGCAGAGGAAGGCCCACAGTGTCATGGAAAGAAAGCAACAGCACCCAAGTGACCCCAGAACCCAGCTCTCCCTCTCTGGCCTAACCATGATGAGTTGCTGTGGCTGTCCCCAAACATAACATCAGTGCTGTCCAGCTGCAACCCCCAATAAAAGCCTGCCACTGGCTTGCGGACTTGGCCCAGGTCAAAAGTAGGCATCTCTGTGTCATTTATCTCTACTCCTTGTTTGTGGTGTGTGTACGTATTCATATGTTCGTGCAGATCCACATGCCATGCTTATGTATGGTGGCCAAGGGTTGGCACGGGGTGTCTTCTCCACTTTAGTGTGTCAGCAGAGTCTCCCTCTGAACCCAGGGCTTGCTGGCTTGACTGGACTAGCTTGTCAACAGGCCCCGGGAATCCTGCTTCTGCCTCCCCAACATTAGAATTGCAAGGTGCTTGACTAAACCTGGCGCTAGAGAACTGAACTCAGGCCCTCATGCTTCCACAGCAGGACGGTTTGTTATCTTCTGAAGCCACATCCCTTGTCCCTTGGTCCATCTTCTCCCTGTGGGGGACCTGCTTGCCTTCCCTCCCCTTGGTCCATCTTCTCCCTGTGGACGGGACCTGCCTACCTCCTCTTCCCTGGGTCCATCTTCTCCCTGTGGGCGGGACCTGCTTGCAGCCAGCCTCCCCTTCCCTTGGTCCATCTTCTCCCTGTGGGGGACCTGCCTGCCTCCCCTTCCCTTGATCCATCTTCTCCCTGTGGGTGGGACCTGCCTGCCTCCCCTTCCCTTGGTCCATCTTCTCCCTGTGGGGGACCTGCCTGCCTCCCCTTCCCTTGATCCATCTTCTCCCTGTGGGCGGGACCTACCTGCCTCCTTTTTCCTGTGGTCCATATTCTCCCTGTGGGTGGGACCTGCTTGCAGCCAGCCTCCTAGTCCGTGCTGAAATGCTTTGTCATGACTGCACCCTCAGGCCTCGCCTGCCCAGTGTCAGGAAGCTCAGCCCCTACAATGGACATAAAGTCACCCCCTAGACCCACTTCTATCAGGAACCTCTCTGGATACCCCCCTATGGATACCCCAAAGCAGCAATGCTATCCCACAAGCAAGGTGTCCTGCCGAGTGTTCCAGCCCCTGCAGCAACCTCTTTCACTGGAGGGAGTCCCGAAGACTTCATGAATATGGTCACTCCAGCTAAGCCCTGTGTTCATGAAAGGAAGTCTTGTCCAACCCTGCCCCTCAGAACCGGGGCTAGATAGGGTGGGCAAGAGCAGCATGAACAATAGAGGAACCCTCTTTCCAGTCTAATCATGAGCTGGAACTGTGGCTCACTGTTGTGTGGGGCACGGCTGAGGAGGTGGGATGCGGTAGGGCTATACGGATGGGGCTGCAGAGGTTTGGCTATTATGGGATGGGGTCAGGACCCTGCCCAAATGGTGGGTGGTGTCCTGAAGACCAGTATTAGAGCTTTTGACCTCAATCCAGGACTGAATGCAGCCTGCGACAGCTCACTCTGGCCTGAGTGCTGAGGCAGGACATGAAGTCATGTTTGGGATGGAATTCTGACTTTCTTTTTATTCATCTATTTATTTTACATCCTGTTGCAGCCCTGCTCCAATCCTCCCCTCCCGGTCCCTCTCCCCCATTCCCAAAACTCTCCTCTCTCAATCCAGGAAAGAGCAGGTCTCCTATGAGTATCAGTAAAACATGGCATATCAAGTTGCAGTTACCCATGTATTAAGGCTGGGTAAGGCGACCTAGTATAAGAAGTAGGGTCCCCAAAGCCAGCAAAACTGTCAGAGACAAGCCCTATCCCTGCTGTTAGGAGTCCTACAGAAAGACCAAGCTACATAACTGTAACATATATGCAGAGTGCCTAGGACAGGCTTGTGCAGATGCCCTGGCTGTCAGTTCAGGCTCTGCGAGCCCCTCTGAGCCCAGGTTAGTTGATTGTGTGAACCTTCCTGTGGTGTCTTTGACCTCTCTGGAGTCTTGACTTTTGGTACTGGACTGTGCGATACTGTGCCGCCTGCCCCAGCACCCAACCTCTCACTTATCTCTGACCAAGACTCAGGTCCACCTGCCCTGCTCCTGTCCCAAGGCTCAGAGTAGCTGGAGCTCAAGGATGGCTGGGCGGTGAAGATGCTGAAGGATGTCCAGGGTCCTTCTCTCTCACAGTCTTGAACACCCTTCTCTGCCTTCTCCTTCCCTCTGTGCTCGGGGAGAACTAACGTGGTTACACCAAGCAGGGGTCAAGCTCTTGCTGTTTCTTCAGTGCCCTTGAACCACCCACCTGCCTAAAGGACACCTTAGGCATCAGCATTCCCCTCTGTGCAGAAGATCCCTAAACCCAGCCTGCTCCTTGACTATTGTGTGAGGATCTGGGAGTGAGGCTCCACCAGGCCCCTGGATCCACAGAGCCCTGCAGGACCTGAGAGCTACCTGGGTGAGCCCGGCCAAGCTCTGCCATGGCTGGCAGCTCACATCCCACCATGCTCCAGGTCCCCCTGAGGAGAGCTGCATCTCACTCAGGCTGCCCAGCTCTGCCCTCCAAGAGGGCACATGTAGGTTTGCTCTTTGGGCCCTGCAAGGCTCTCAAACGGGTTTCAGGAGAGATCCTGGTTCATGCGGTCCTGCTGGCTCAGTCAGGAAGGTTCTGCTTCACTCACTGCTGTCAGTGCCAGACTCCATGGTCTGTTCTAAAAGAGACTCAGTCTGGGGAGCTTAGGAGACTCTGGGGGTATGGAGTCATGACATGGCCCTGCTCCGTGGCGCCCAGTTCCTAGCACTCGCACCTTTATGTGTTCTAACCTCGAGTGTCTCTCAAAGAGCACACAAGGAGATGCTGCCACCTCAGCTGAGTGACATGAGAGTGTACCATCATCTGGCTGGGAGTCTGTCCCTTGCTGGCTAGGCGGGTGAGTACCCAGTGGCCTCCAGGCAACAAGAAGCCGAGGCCTGTTGTGCTCACCCAACTCCCAGGCAACGGACAAAGCCAGCAATCTTGGCAACTTCAGTGGCTCCTATCCTATCTGGAGAGGAGACACGGCCCCTGCTTACATCTGATGGCATCCCCGTGGAACTGTGAGCAGAGGACCCACCTAAGACAGGCAGGACACGTGACCCTTAGAAGCTAGGAATCATAATTATGTACTAGGCAGACACTTTCTATAGTGTCATCAGCACACACCAAGTCTGGCTGCTGTTTGTAAGACAGGCCAGAGGGAAGCTAGGTGCCCCGGGCAAGGATGACCAGCTGAGCAACTTTTCAGAATCTCTGTCTCCTCAGCCACTCTACGATGAATCTCAGCTCTGGTTGCTTGAGTTACGTAGTAGAGATGAAGTCTGCCGTGCGCAGAAGGAAAGCAAGGACAAGTGAGGACCCCAGGACAAAAGACAGCGGCAAGCTTGACCAATAGGTGCATCGTTTCCTTTATTGCCCAGTAGGAGGGGACTGAAGGGGATGGTCTGTCCGGTCTACAATCAGTACCATGAGGTGCTCAGGAGCCAGAGCAAAGAACTCGTACACACCGGGGGAATTAGTTGACACCAGTGGGCAGGTAGACAAATAAACACAACCAAGGTTTGATGGCAACCCCGTGTCTGTGCCCTATCACTGAGCGCAGTCTGCCACCGGCCAGACCTTTCTGCCACACATACTCCTCATCACAGTCAATGTCTCAAAGCAAAACAGTCAGCAAAGGAGGAAGTTCACGAACAAGAAGGTATGGGGGTTTCCCGGGGCACCCCATATTCTGCCTGACAGGAAAAGAGAACTCACCAGGAAACGGCAACGATGGGGCAGAGATTACACCAAAAGCTGCTTCTGCCCACAGATATGGGAACTCCAGGGGCAATGTTGCTTTCCTGGCACTGGGTGGCTTCTTGGGACTTACCCCACAAAAGCCAACAGAGTTCTCCAGCAGTAACGCACAGAGCTAGACAATTTTGCAGCCTTCGTTGCTTCCAAAGCTTGGAAGAAACTAGCATAATTTTTATTTCTGTGTGGATGACTGTGTTATGTGACACAGACGCGCTATTCATCTGTGCTTTGGTTTCAAGTCCGCGGACCAAGGTGTAAAGGTGCATTCTAGGGTAGGCTGCTTTCACAGAGCCCAGGCCCAATGCTCAGCTTGCTTTGTTTATCTCTTCCACCGACTCTGACCTCCGGCCCTCATTTGGCCACAGGCCTAGGTGTAGATTTGTCACCGGTATCTCTAGCCTGTTCCAACAGTACTAGTTCTGTTCTGGCAGAGGATGCCACCATTGCTTTGGAACCAGGCCTGGCACTGGTCACCTCTGGCTCAGGTTCCTCCTCGGGAGAGAAGCTTTCTCGGGCATCAAAAAAGGTGAGGGTTTCTTCCTGGGGCTTCTGCTCCACCTGAACGTCCCCACCTTCGGCGCTTCTGATCTTCGTAGGTGAAGAGGAGAATCCCAGCTTAGGGAAGCGGAACCAGCCCGCCTTCTCCTGTTTCCTGGGCAGTTCAGGGTCCAGTCGAGCAGCAGGCTGCACGTGGACAGGGGCAGGTCTCTGGGCAGCATCTCCGGAATCAGCAGCTGTCTCTTCCACAGAGGAGAACCCAATGCTTGGCAGCCAGGACCACAACAGGCTGGCCTTCTTTCCTTCTGGCTTCTGTTTTGTAGCCATCTCAGGGGTCTTTACCTCTCGGCTGTCCTCAGGAAATTCGAGAATCTCTGCCTGCTCCTCATCAGAGGTGCTGTCTGTGAGCTGGGGCCCAGGAGGCACGCCAGCACTGCAGGAGATCATCTCAAAGGGCTCGCTAGTATCAGGTGGGAAATCAGCAGGAATGAAGTGTCTCCCTGCAGCAGCTCGGGGAGCTCCACCCACCGAGTCCTCCTGCACCTGGCAGTCGGGAGCTCCTGTTTGCACGCTAGCCTGCACAGAGGGCTCTGGGATTTTCACTTTCAGCAAAGAAAACCCGTAAGAAGGAGTTTGAATTGTAGACACAGGAATCTCTGATTCCCGCACAATCTGAGTAGAAAAGGCTTCGCATGCTGAGGAGTCAGAACCCTCTCGTTCCGTCCTGCTGCAAAAAGCGACTTCTTGACTCTCACCTTGAGAGCCCTGAATGTGCACTCTGACCTTAGAAATAGGGAATGGTTCCACGGATTGCTCAAGGCTTACTGGTGGCCCTCTAGGATCCTCAGCGTCTGTCTTTAGAATGCTGGCTTCCCAGAGCTCAGGACCATCTTTATGCATGGCACTGTCAATGCTGGCCTCTGCACATTGCACCTCCCTCACCACAGGGAAGAATACATCAGCCTCAGAGCTGGAGGCATGGAAGGAGAACTTGGGTACCTTTAATTTGGGGAATGTTACAGTCAACACAGAATCCTCCCAGAGCTGACTCGTGCTCACCACGGAGACGTGGGATGGCATATCAGTGATGGAAGCCTTCAACCTCAGAGGTCCTTGGGGCTGAGAAGGCCAGGTTCCTGCTCCAGCTGCCACCTCAGCAAGAATGTTTCCTCCTGACCCAGGATGCTGTTGCTTGCCTGTTCCTTCTGGAGGAAGCTGGAGTCCTGAGACGCTCACACTAGAAGAGTTTTTGCCTGGATGGGTCCCTAACTCATGGGTGGACAGATGTGTCTGGGACATCCCCACAGTGGAGCCATGCATCCTAACACCTGTTCCATGAAGATCACGTTTTACAACATCTGCATACGTAGGGCTTTTTGGGGTTTCCACACTGATCCCTTCCTCTGGGGACCCCAGGGAGACATGTACCTCTAATTTTGACTCAGGCTCATTGGCAGCTGCTACTTCTGTCTCTAAGGCTATGCCAGCGTCTGGAGTCTGAGTAGCTTCCTGTTCTCCAGCCCCATCTCGCTCCTTGGATGAGGAGTGCCTGAAACCACGAACTCGGAACTTGGGCATTTTGAAGTGGCGCTCATGTGAATACTTTGTTGTCTCTTTTGCTGTGGGATCCATCTCAGGGCTTTCCATGGTGGGGGCGCTATGTCTTTGTCTACAGGATGGCTGCAGGTCTCCTGTCACAGATGCTGTCAGTTCCCCAAAGGGCTGACTTGCAGACACACCCACAAACATATGACTCTGGCTGTCACCTCTGATATCCAAGGCATCTTCGAGAAGCCCAAGATCAGTTTTGCACCCAGTCACTTCTGCAGGCATGGAGGGGGATCTGATGCTGGGTGCTGTAGCGACATCTTTTGATCTAGTGCCCCTAACATGGGTATCACTGAGAGTGGTTTCTATGACTACCAAGTTACCTCCAGCTGTAGTACCAGTAAGTGATGGCTTCACTTCTCCCTCCGGAGTGCCAGCTCGCCCCTTAGAACCTTTTATCTTGGGCAGTGCAAGTCGTGGCATGGAAAAGCTCAGCTTCCGGCTTCTTCCCTTCTCTGCTTCCTTCTCGATAGATACATGCTGGTGCAATTCACAAGTCCCAATTTGAGGGTCCATTTCAACTACAGAAACATCAGGACTATGGATGGGATCCACCTGTGGGGACTCAGAATTACCTGCAGACTCTGCTTTCTTTTTTGGAGACAAAGTAAATGGACGGAGCTTGAAGTGTGGCAATTTGAAGGAACTTCCCTCTCCTTCCCGATCAGATCCATCAAGTGGGGGAGTATTTGCAGACTCAATTGAGGATTCACCCGAAACATGGGAAACAGGCAGCTCTGCAGATAAAACAGGAGAAACAGAGGATTCAGACATTGTTGTGAGACTCACAGAGGTCCTTACTACATGCTCAGACAAAGGTGGGGCACATTCAAATGATGACAGTAGAACAGAAATTACAAATTTTGGTTTATGAAACTTAGGAAACAATATGCAGACATTGCAAGAAGAAACAGCAGGAAGAGCAGAGCTCTGAGAAGAGTCAAAGGAGCTCGAAAAAAAGCCAGCAGGTGAGTGCAGAAAGTGTACACTCTCAAAAGGACATGACTGGGAAAGATGGTGAGTACCACTATAGAAACTTCCCACTTTACCTTCGACCATACTAACAACCACAGAGGAAGGCTGAGTCTGGAGGTCAGCCTGCACACCAGAGAGGAACAGCTCCACGTCGGGTCCGCACACCACTTCACTGGGGATTTTAATGCCATCTGTGGGGCCCGTCAGGTCCAGCTTGCTTATCTTGAGGCTAGATATCTCCACCGAGGGAAGGTTAAACTTCATGCTGGCTCCAGGTGGCTCCTGTGTAGCCTGATTTCCATCGGCCAGCTGAGCATCTTCAATCTTCACATCTACATGGCAATCCATGCCCTCCAGCTTGGAGGACGGCAGATGAATGTTGAGGCTTGGAGACTTAAGTTCACCCTGCATGGAAGGCAGGGACACCTCTGCCTCCATCTTGGGAGCTGCCACCTCCATAGTGGCTTCCATGCTGGGTTTGCCTGTTGCGGAAACGCCAAAAGAGGGCATCTTGAACTTGGGCATCTTGAACTTGCTGTCTTTGACGGCCATGTCCTTATCGACCATGGCCTGGTCCCCATCAAGTTTGACACCTGGAGCCTGGACATGAACCTCCACGCTGGGCAGGGACACCTCTAAATCCTGCATTTTCACATCGCTTTTGGGGCTTTTCACCTCCACCGTGGGGCCCTTTGCGTCCACTGTGGGGCCCTTCTGCTCCACTTTGGGGTCCTTGAAGTCCACATGGGGTCCCTTCAGGTCCACCTTGGGCATCTTGAAGCTGGGCATCTTGAACTTGCTGTCTTTGGTGGCCTCATGCGATACAGCATGGGGAAGACCCTCCTGTAGCTTGGCACCTAGGGCCTGGATGTCTACCTTCACGCCAGGCAAGGACACCTCCATGTCAGGCCCACTAATCTCAGCTTTGGGGCTTTTCACGTCCACTGTGGGGCCCTTTTCATCCGCTGTGGGGTCCTTCACGTCCACTGTGGGGCCCTTTTTGTCCACCTTGGGCATCTTGAAGCTGGGCATCTGTATTTTGGGCAGGTGGCCCTTCAGGCTGGCTCCGTCAGCATCCTGTGCGATCTGTTCTCCCTCAGGCAGCTGCACGTCTGCTATCTTCACATCTGCCTGGCCTGCCTTGACCTCCAGCTTGGAGGACGGCAGATGAATGCTGAGGTCTGGAGTCTTAAGTTCACCCTGCATGGAGAGCGGGGACCCCTCTGCTTCCATCTTGGGAGCTGCCACCTCCATAGTGGCTGCCATGCTGGGTTTGCCAGTTGTGGACACGCCGAAGGAGGGCATCTTAAACTTGGGCATCTTGAACTTGCTGTCTTTGGTGGCCTCATGCGTTACAGCATGGGGAAGATCCTCCTGTAGCTTGGCACCTTGGGCCTGGACGTCTACCTTCACGCCAGGCAAGGACACCTCCATGTCAGGCCCACTAATCTCAGCTTTGGGGCTTTTCACGTCCACCGTGGGGCCCTTTGCGTCCACTGTGGGGCCCTTCACGTCCACTGTGGGGCCCTTCACGTACACTGTGGGGCCCTTCAGGTCGACCTTAGGCATCTTGAAGCTGGGCATCTGCAAATTGGGCAGGTGGCCCTTCAGGATGGCTCCGTCAGCATCCTGTGCGGTCGTCTCTCCTTCAGGCAGCTGGACTTCTGCCACCTTCACATCTACCTGGCCAGCTTTGACCTCCAGGTTAGAGGACGGCAGATGAATGTTGAGGCTTGGAGACTTAAGTTCACCCTGCATGGAAGGCCGGGACACCTCTGCCTCCATCTTGGGAGCTGCCACCTCCATAGTGGCTTCCATGCTGGGTTTGCCTGTTGCGGAAACGCCAAAAGAGGGCATCTTGAACTTGGGCATCTTGAACTTGCTGTCTTTGACGGCCATGTCCTTATCGACCATGGCCTGGTCCCCATCCAGTTTGACACCTGGAGCCTGGACATGAACCTCCACGGTGGGCAGGAACACCTCTAAATCCTGCATTTTCACATCGCTTTTGGGGCTTTTCACCTCCACCGTGGGGCCCTTTGCGTCCACTGTGGGGCCCTTCTGCTCCACTTTGGGGTCCTTGAAGTCCACATGGGGTCCCTTCAGGTCCACCTTGGGCATCTTGAAGCTGGGCATCTTGAACTTGCTGTCTTTGGTGGCCACATCCTTTTCAGAATGGGGCAGGTCCTTCTGTAGCTCGGCACCTAGGGCCTGGACTTCTACCTTCACGCCAGGCAAGGACACCTCCATGTCAGGCCCACTAATCTCAGCTTTGGGGCTTTTCACGTCCACTGTGGGGCCCTTTTCATCCGCTGTGGGGTCCTTCACGTCCACTGTGGGACCCTTTTTGTCCACCTTGGGCATCTTGAAGCTGGGCATCTGTATTTTGGGCAGGTGGCCCTTCAGGCTGGCTCCGTCAGCATCCTGTGCGATCTGTTCTCCCTCAGGCAGCTGCACGTCTGCTATCTTCACATCTGCCTGGCCTGCCTTGACCTCCAGCTTGGAGGACGGCAGATGAATGCTGAGGTCTGGAGTCTTAAGTTCACCCTGCATGGAGAGCGGGGACCCCTCTGCTTCCATCTTGGGAGCTGCCACCTCCATAGTGGCTGCCATGCTGGGTTTGCCAGTTGTGGACACGCCGAAGGAGGGCATCTTAAACTTGGGCATCTTGAACTTGCTGTCTTTGGTGGCCTCATGCGTTACAGCATGGGGAAGATCCTCCTGTAGCTTGGCACCTTGGGCCTGGACGTCTACCTTCACGCCAGGCAAGGACACCTCCATGTCAGGCCCACTAATCTCAGCTTTGGGGCTTTTCACGTCCACCGTGGGGCCCTTCGCGTCCACTGTGGGGCCCTTCACGTCCACTGTGGGGCCCTTCAGGTCCATCTTGGGCATCTTGAAGCTGGGCATCTGCAAATTGGGCAGGTGGCCCTTCAGGATGGCTCCGTCAGCATCCTGTGCGGTCGTCTCTCCTTCAGGCAGCTGGACTTCTGCCACCTTCACATCTACCTGGCCAGCTTTGACCTCCAGGTTAGAGGACGGCAGATGAATGTTGAGGCTTGGAGACTTAAGTTCACCCTGCATGGAAGGCAGGGACACCTCTGCCTCCATCTTGGGAGCTGCCACCTCCATAGTGGCTTCCATGCTGGGTTTGCCTGTTGCGGAAACGCCAAAAGAGGGCATCTTGAACTTGGGCATCTTGAACTTGCTGTCTTTGACGGCCATGTCCTTATCGACCATGGCCTGGTCCCCATCCAGTTTGACACCTGGAGCCTGGACATGAACCTCCACGCTGGGCAGGGACACCTCTAAATCCTGCATTTTCACATCGCTTTGGGGGCTTTTCACCTCCACCGTGGGGCCCTTTGCGTCCACTGTGGGGCCCTTCTGCTCCACTTTGGGGTCCTTGAAGTCCACATGGGGTCCCTTCAGGTCCACCTTGGGCATCTTGAAGCTGGGCATCTTGAACTTGCTGTCTTTGGTGGCCTCATGCGTTACAGCATGGGGAAGATCCTCCTGTAGCTTGGCACCTAGGGCCTGGATGTCTACCTTCACGGCAGGCAAGGACACCTGCATGTCAGGCCCACTAATCTCATCTTTGGGGCTTTTCACGTCCACTGTGGGGCCCTTTTCATCCGCTGTGGGGTCCTTCACGTCCACTGTGGGGCCCTTTTTGTCCACCTTGGGCATCTTGAAGCTGGGCATCTGTATTTTGGGCAGGTGGCCCTTCAGGCTGGCTCCGTCAGCATCCTGTGCGATCTGTTCTCCCTCAGGCAGCTGCACGTCTGCTATCTTCACATCTGCCTGGCCTGCCTTGACCTCCAGCTTGGAGGACGGCAGATGAATGCTGAGGTCTGGAGTCTTAAGTTCACCCTGCATGGAGAGCGGGGACCCCTCTGCTTCCATCTTGGGAGCTGCCACCTCCATAGTGGCTGCCATGCTGGGTTTGCCAGTTGTGGACACGCCGAAGGAGGGCATCTTAAACTTGGGCATCTTGAACTTGCTGTCTTTGGTGGCCTCATGCGTTACAGCATGGGGAAGATCCTCCTGTAGCTTGGCACCTTGGGCCTGGACGTCTACCTTCACGCCAGGCAAGGACACCTCCATGTCAGGCCCACTAATCTCAGCTTTGGGGCTTTTCACGTCCACCGTGGGGCCCTTCAGGTCCACCTTGGGCATCTTGAAGCTGGGCATCTGCAAATTGGGCAGGTGGCCCTTCAGGATGGCTCCGTCAGCATCCTGTGCGGTCGTCTCTCCTTCAGGCAGCTGGACTTCTGCCACCTTCACATCTACCTGGCCCGCTTTGACCTCCAGGTTAGAGGACGGCAGATGAATGTTGAGGCTTGGAGATTTAAGTTCACCCTGCATGGAAGGCAGGGACACCTCTGCCTCCATCTTGGGAGCTGCCACCTCCATAGTGGCTTCCATGCTGGGTTTGCCTGTTGCGGAAACGCCAAAAGAGGGCATCTTGAACTTGGGCATCTTGAACTTGCTGTCTTTGACGGCCATGTCCTTATCGACCATGGCCTGGTCCCCATCCAGTTTGACACCTGGAGCCTGGACATGAACCTCCACGCTGGGCAGGGACACCTCTAAATCCTGCATTTTCACATCGCTTTTGGGGCTTTTCACCTCCACCGTGGGGCCCTTTGCGTCCACTGTGGGGCCCTTCTGCTCCACTTTGGGGTCCTTGAAGTCCACATGGGGTCCCTTCAGGTCCACCTTGGGCATCTTGAAGCTGGGCATCTTGAACTTGCTGTCTTTGGTGGCCACATCCTTTTCAGAATGGGGCAGGTCCTTCTGTAGCTTGGCACCTAGGGCCTGGACGTCTACCTTCACGCCAGGCAAGGACACCTCCATGTCAGGCCCACTAATCTCAGCTTTGGGGCTTTTCACGTCCACTGTGGGGCCCTTTTCATCCGCTGTGGGGTCCTTCACGTCCACTGTGGGGCCCTTTTTGTCCACCTTGGGCATCTTGAAGCTGGGCATCTGTATTTTGGGCAGGTGGCCCTTCAGGCTGGCTCCGTCAGCATCCTGTGCGATCTGTTCTCCCTCAGGCAGCTGCACGTCTGCTATCTTCACATCAGCCTGGCCTGCCTTGACCTCCAGCTTGGAGGACGGCAGATGAATGCTGAGGTCTGGAGTCTTAAGTTCACCCTGCATGGAGAGCGGGGACCCCTCTGCTTCCATCTTGGGAGCTGCCACCTCCATAGTGGCTGCCATGCTGGGTTTGCCAGTTGTGGACACGCCGAAGGAGGGCATCTTAAACTTGGGCATCTTGAACTTGCTGTCTTTGGTGGCCTCATGCGTTACAGCATGGGGAAGATCCTCCTGTAGCTTGGCACCTTGGGCCTGGACGTCTACCTTCACGCCAGGCAAGGACACCTCCATGTCAGGCACACTAATCTCAGCTTTGGGGCTTTTCATGTCCACCGTGGGGCCCTTCGCGTCCACTGTGGGGCCCTTCACGTCCACTGTGGGGCCCTTCAGGTCCATCTTGGGCATCTTGAAGCTGGGCATCTGCAAATTGGGCAGGTGGCCCTTCAGGATGGCTCCGTCAGCATCCTGTGCGATCTGTTCTCCCTCAGGCAGCTGCACGTCTGCTATCTTCACATCTGCCTGGCCTGCCTTGACCTCCAGCTTGGAGGACGGCAGATGAATGCTGAGGTCTGGAGTCTTAAGTTCACCCTGCATGGAGAGCGGGGACCCCTCTGCTTCCATCTTGGGAGCTGCCACCTCCATAGTGGCTGCCATGCTGGGTTTGCCAGTTGTGGACACGCCGAAGGAGGGCATCTTAAACTTGGGCATCTTGAACTTGCTGTCTTTGGTGGCCTCATGCGTTACAGCATGGGGAAGATCCTCCTGTAGCTTGGCACCTTGGGCCTGGACATCTACCTTCACGCCAGGCAAGGACACCTCCATGTCAGGCCCACTAATCTCAGCTTTGGGGCTTTTCACGTCCACGGTGGGGCCCTTCGCGTCCACTGTGGGGCCCTTCACGTCCACTGTGGGGCCCTTCAGGTCCATCTTGGGCATCTTGAAGCTGGGCATCTGCAAATTGGGCAGGTGGCCCTTCAGGATGGCTCCGTCAGCATCCTGTGCGGTCGTCTCTCCTTCAGGCAGCTGGACTTCTGCCACCTTCACATCTACCTGGCCAGCTTTGACCTCCAGGTTAGAGGACGGCAGATGAATGTTGAGGCTTGGAGACTTAAGTTCACCCTGCATGGAAGGCAGGGACACCTCTGCCTCCATCTTGGGAGCTGCCACCTCCATAGTGGCTTCCATGCTGGGTTTGCCTGTTGCGGAAACGCCAAAAGAGGGCATCTTGAACTTGGGCATCTTGAACTTGCTGTCTTTGACGGCCATGTCCTTATCGACCATGGCCTGGTCCCCATCCAGTTTGACACCTGGAGCCTGGACATGAACCTCCACGCTGGGCAGGGACACCTCTAAATCCTGCATTTTCACATCGCTTTTGGGGCTTTTCACCTCCACCGTGGGGCCCTTTGCGTCCACTGTGGGGCCCTTCTGCTCCACTTTGGGGTCCTTCAAGTCCACATGGGGTCCCTTCAGGTCCACCTTGGGCATCTTGAAGCTGGGCATCTTGAACTTGCTGTCTTTGGTGGCCTCATGCGTTACAGCATGGGGAAGATCCTCCTGTAGCTTGGCACCTAGGGCCTGGATGTCTACCTTCACGCCAGGCAAGGACACCTGCATGTCAGGCCCACTAATCTCATCTTTGGGGCTTTTCACGTCCACTGTGGGGCCCTTTTCATCCGCTGTGGGGTCCTTCACGTCCACTGTGGGGCCCTTTTTGTCCACCTTGGGCATCTTGAAGCTGGGCATCTGTATTTTGGGCAGGTGGCCCTTCAGGCTGGCTCCGTCAGCATCCTGTGCGATCTGTTCTCCCTCAGGCAGCTGCACGTCTGCTATCTTCACATCTGCCTGGCCTGCCTTGACCTCCAGCTTGGAGGACGGCAGATGAATGCTGAGGTCTGGAGTCTTAAGTTCACCCTGCATGGAGAGCGGGGACCCCTCTGCTTCCATCTTGGGAGCTGCCACCTCCATAGTGGCTGCCATGCTGGGTTTGCCAGTTGTGGACACGCCGAAGGAGGGCATCTTAAACTTGGGCATCTTGAACTTGCTGTCTTTGGTGGCCTCATGCGTTACAGCATGGGGAAGATCCTCCTGTAGCTTGGCACCTTGGGCCTGGACGTCTACCTTCACGCCAGGCAAGGACACCGCCATGTCAGGCCCACTAATCTCAGCTTTGGGGCTTTTCACGTCCACCGTGGGGCCCTTCAGGTCCACCTTGGGCATCTTGAAGCTGGGCATCTGCAAATTGGGCAGGTGGCCCTTCAGGATGGCTCCGTCAGCATCCTGTGCGGTCGTCTCTCCTTCAGGCAGCTGGACTTCTGCCACCTTCACATCTACCTGGCCCGCTTTGACCTCCAGGTTAGAGGACGGCAGATGAATGTTGAGGCTTGGAGATTTAAGTTCACCCTGCATGGAAGGCAGGGACACCTCTGCCTCCATCTTGGGAGCTGCCACCTCCATAGTGGCTTCCATGCTGGGTTTGCCTGTTGCGGAAACGCCAAAAGAGGGCATCTTGAACTTGGGCATCTTGAACTTGCTGTCTTTGACGGCCATGTCCTTATCGACCATGGCCTGGTCCCCATCCAGTTTGACACCTGGAGCCTGGACATGAACCTCCACGCTGGGCAGGGACACCTCTAAATCCTGCATTTTCACATCGCTTTTGGGGCTTTTCACCTCCACCGTGGGGCCCTTTGCGTCCACTGTGGGGCCCTTCTGCTCCACTTTGGGGTCCTTGAAGTCCACATGGGGTCCCTTCAGGTCCACCTTGGGCATCTTGAAGCTGGGCATCTTGAACTTGCTGTCTTTGGTGGCCACATCCTTTTCAGAATGGGGCAGGTCCTTCTGTAGCTTGGCACCTAGGGCCTGGACGTCTACCTTCACGCCAGGCAAGGACACCTCCATGTCAGGCCCACTAATCTCAGCTTTGGGGCTTTTCACGTCCACTGTGGGGCCCTTTTCATCCGCTGTGGGGTCCTTCACGTCCACTGTGGGGCCCTTTTTGTCCACCTTGGGCATCTTGAAGCTGGGCATCTGTATTTTGGGCAGGTGGCCCTTCAGGCTGGCTCCGTCAGCATCCTGTGCGATCTGTTCTCCCTCAGGCAGCTGCACGTCTGCTATCTTCACATCAGCCTGGCCTGCCTTGACCTCCAGCTTGGAGGACGGCAGATGAATGCTGAGGTCTGGAGTCTTAAGTTCACCCTGCATGGAGAGCGGGGACCCCTCTGCTTCCATCTTGGGAGCTGCCACCTCCATAGTGGCTGCCATGCTGGGTTTGCCAGTTGTGGACACGCCGAAGGAGGGCATCTTAAACTTGGGCATCTTGAACTTGCTGTCTTTGGTGGCCTCATGCGTTACAGCATGGGGAAGATCCTCCTGTAGCTTGGCACCTTGGGCCTGGACGTCTACCTTCACGCCAGGCAAGGACACCTCCATGTCAGGCACACTAATCTCAGCTTTGGGGCTTTTCATGTCCACCGTGGGGCCCTTCGCGTCCACTGTGGGGCCCTTCACGTCCACTGTGGGGCCCTTCAGGTCCATCTTGGGCATCTTGAAGCTGGGCATCTGCAAATTGGGCAGGTGGCCCTTCAGGATGGCTCCGTCAGCATCCTGTGCGATCTGTTCTCCCTCAGGCAGCTGCACGTCTGCTATCTTCACATCTGCCTGGCCTGCCTTGACCTCCAGCTTGGAGGACGGCAGATGAATGCTGAGGTCTGGAGTCTTAAGTTCACCCTGCATGGAGAGCGGGGACCCCTCTGCTTCCATCTTGGGAGCTGCCACCTCCATAGTGGCTGCCATGCTGGGTTTGCCAGTTGTGGACACGCCGAAGGAGGGCATCTTAAACTTGGGCATCTTGAACTTGCTGTCTTTGGTGGCCTCATGCGTTACAGCATGGGGAAGATCCTCCTGTAGCTTGGCACCTTGGGCCTGGACATCTACCTTCACGCCAGGCAAGGACACCTCCATGTCAGGCCCACTAATCTCAGCTTTGGGGCTTTTCACGTCCACGGTGGGGCCCTTCGCGTCCACTGTGGGGCCCTTCACGTCCACTGTGGGGCCCTTCAGGTCCATCTTGGGCATCTTGAAGCTGGGCATCTGCAAATTGGGCAGGTGGCCCTTCAGGATGGCTCCGTCAGCATCCTGTGCGGTCGTCTCTCCTTCAGGCAGCTGGACTTCTGCCACCTTCACATCTACCTGGCCAGCTTTGACCTCCAGGTTAGAGGACGGCAGATGAATGTTGAGGCTTGGAGACTTAAGTTCACCCTGCATGGAAGGCAGGGACACCTCTGCCTCCATCTTGGGAGCTGCCACCTCCATAGTGGCTTCCATGCTGGGTTTGCCTGTTGCGGAAACGCCAAAAGAGGGCATCTTGAACTTGGGCATCTTGAACTTGCTGTCTTTGACGGCCATGTCCTTATCGACCATGGCCTGGTCCCCATCCAGTTTGACACCTGGAGCCTGGACATGAACCTCCACGCTGGGCAGGGAAACCTCTAAATCCTGCATTTTCACATCGCTTTGGGGGCTTTTCACCTCCACCGTGGGGCCCTTTGCGTCCACTGTGGGGCCCTTCTGCTCCACTTTGGGGTCCTTGAAGTCCACATGGGGTCCCTTCAGGTCCACCTTGGGCATCTTGAAGCTGGGCATCTTGAACTTGCTGTCTTTGGTGGCCTCATGCGTTACAGCATGGGGAAGATCCTCCTGTAGCTTGGCACCTAGGGCCTGGATGTCTACCTTCACGCCAGGCAAGGACACCTGCATGTCAGGCCCACTAATCTCATCTTTGGGGCTTTTCACGTCCACTGTGGGGCCCTTTTCATCCGCTGTGGGGTCCTTCACGTCCACTGTGGGGCCCTTTTTGTCCACCTTGGGCATCTTGAAGCTGGGCATCTGTATTTTGGGCAGGTGGCCCTTCAGGCTGGCTCCGTCAGCATCCTGTGCGATCTGTTCTCCCTCAGGCAGCTGCACGTCTGCTATCTTCACATCTGCCTGGCCTGCCTTGACCTCCAGCTTGGAGGACGGCAGATGAATGCTGAGGTCTGGAGTCTTAAGTTCACCCTGCATGGAGAGCGGGGACCCCTCTGCTTCCATCTTGGGAGCTGCCACCTCCATAGTGGCTGCCATGCTGGGTTTGCCAGTTGTGGACACGCCGAAGGAGGGCATCTTAAACTTGGGCATCTTGAACTTGCTGTCTTTGGTGGCCTCATGCGTTACAGCATGGGGAAGATCCTCCTGTAGCTTGGCACCTTGGGCCTGGACGTCTACCTTCACGCCAGGCAAGGACACCGCCATGTCAGGCCCACTAATCTCAGCTTTGGGGCTTTTCACGTCCACCGTGGGGCCCTTCAGGTCCACCTTGGGCATCTTGAAGCTGGGCATCTGCAAATTGGGCAGGTGGCCCTTCAGGATGGCTCCGTCAGCATCCTGTGTGGTCGTCTCTCCTTCAGGCAGCTGGACTTCTGCCACCTTCACATCTACCTGGCCCGCTTTGACCTCCAGGTTAGAGGACGGCAGATGAATGTTGAGGCTTGGAGATTTAAGTTCACCCTGCATGGAAGGCAGGGACACCTCTGCCTCCATCTTGGGAGCTGCCACCTCCATAGTGGCTTCCATGCTGGGTTTGCCTGTTGCGGAAACGCCAAAAGAGGGCATCTTGAACTTGGGCATCTTGAACTTGCTGTCTTTGACGGCCATGTCCTTATCGACCATGGCCTGGTCCCCATCCAGTTTGACACCTGGAGCCTGGACATGAACCTCCACGCTGGGCAGGGACACCTCTAAATCCTGCATTTTCACATCGCTTTTGGGGCTTTTCACCTCCACCGTGGGGCCCTTTGCGTCCACTGTGGGGCCCTTCTGCTCCACTTTGGGGTCCTTGAAGTCCACATGGGGTCCCTTCAGGTCCACCTTGGGCATCTTGAAGCTGGGCATCTTGAACTTGCTGTCTTTGGTGGCCACATCCTTTTCAGAATGGGGCAGGTCCTTCTGTAGCTTGGCACCTAGGGCCTGGACGTCTACCTTCACGCCAGGCAAGGACACCTCCATGTCAGGCCCACTAATCTCAGCTTTGGGGCTTTTCACGTCCACTGTGGGGCCCTTTTCATCCGCTGTGGGGTCCTTCACGTCCACTGTGGGGCCCTTTTTGTCCACCTTGGGCATCTTGAAGCTGGGCATCTGTATTTTGGGCAGGTGGCCCTTCAGGCTGGCTCCGTCAGCATCCTGTGCGATCTGTTCTCCCTCAGGCAGCTGCACGTCTGCTATCTTCACATCAGCCTGGCCTGCCTTGACCTCCAGCTTGGAGGACGGCAGATGAATGCTGAGGTCTGGAGTCTTAAGTTCACCCTGCATGGAGAGCGGGGACCCCTCTGCTTCCATCTTGGGAGCTGCCACCTCCATAGTGGCTGCCATGCTGGGTTTGCCAGTTGTGGACACGCCGAAGGAGGGCATCTTAAACTTGGGCATCTTGAACTTGCTGTCTTTGGTGGCCTCATGCGTTACAGCATGGGGAAGATCCTCCTGTAGCTTGGCACCTTGGGCCTGGACGTCTACCTTCACGCCAGGCAAGGACACCTCCATGTCAGGCACACTAATCTCAGCTTTGGGGCTTTTCATGTCCACCGTGGGGCCCTTCGCGTCCACTGTGGGGCCCTTCACGTCCACTGTGGGGCCCTTCAGGTCCATCTTGGGCATCTTGAAGCTGGGCATCTGCAAATTGGGCAGGTGGCCCTTCAGGATGGCTCCGTCAGCATCCTGTGCGATCTGTTCTCCCTCAGGCAGCTGCACGTCTGCTATCTTCACATCTGCCTGGCCTGCCTTGACCTCCAGCTTGGAGGACGGCAGATGAATGCTGAGGTCTGGAGTCTTAAGTTCACCCTGCATGGAGAGCGGGGACCCCTCTGCTTCCATCTTGGGAGCTGCCACCTCCATAGTGGCTGCCATGCTGGGTTTGCCAGTTGTGGACACGCCGAAGGAGGGCATCTTAAACTTGGGCATCTTGAACTTGCTGTCTTTGGTGGCCTCATGCGTTACAGCATGGGGAAGATCCTCCTGTAGCTTGGCACCTTGGGCCTGGACATCTACCTTCACGCCAGGCAAGGACACCTCCATGTCAGGCCCACTAATCTCAGCTTTGGGGCTTTTCACGTCCACGGTGGGGCCCTTCGCGTCCACTGTGGGGCCCTTCACGTCCACTGTGGGGCCCTTCAGGTCCATCTTGGGCATCTTGAAGCTGGGCATCTGCAAATTGGGCAGGTGGCCCTTCAGGATGGCTCCGTCAGCATCCTGTGCGGTCGTCTCTCCTTCAGGCAGCTGGACTTCTGCCACCTTCACATCTACCTGGCCAGCTTTGACCTCCAGGTTAGAGGACGGCAGATGAATGTTGAGGCTTGGAGACTTAAGTTCACCCTGCATGGAAGGCAGGGACACCTCTGCCTCCATCTTGGGAGCTGCCACCTCCATAGTGGCTTCCATGCTGGGTTTGCCTGTTGCGGAAACGCCAAAAGAGGGCATCTTGAACTTGGGCATCTTGAACTTGCTGTCTTTGACGGCCATGTCCTTATCGACCATGGCCTGGTCCCCATCCAGTTTGACACCTGGAGCCTGGACATGAACCTCCACGCTGGGCAGGGAAACCTCTAAATCCTGCATTTTCACATCGCTTTGGGGGCTTTTCACCTCCACCGTGGGGCCCTTTGCGTCCACTGTGGGGCCCTTCTGCTCCACTTTGGGGTCCTTGAAGTCCACATGGGGTCCCTTCAGGTCCACCTTGGGCATCTTGAAGCTGGGCATCTTGAACTTGCTGTCTTTGGTGGCCTCATGCGTTACAGCATGGGGAAGATCCTCCTGTAGCTTGGCACCTAGGGCCTGGATGTCTACCTTCACGCCAGGCAAGGACACCTGCATGTCAGGCCCACTAATCTCATCTTTGGGGCTTTTCACGTCCACTGTGGGGCCCTTTTCATCCGCTGTGGGGTCCTTCACGTCCACTGTGGGGCCCTTTTTGTCCACCTTGGGCATCTTGAAGCTGGGCATCTGTATTTTGGGCAGGTGGCCCTTCAGGCTGGCTCCGTCAGCATCCTGTGCGATCTGTTCTCCCTCAGGCAGCTGCACGTCTGCTATCTTCACATCTGCCTGGCCTGCCTTGACCTCCAGCTTGGAGGACGGCAGATGAATGCTGAGGTCTGGAGTCTTAAGTTCACCCTGCATGGAGAGCGGGGACCCCTCTGCTTCCATCTTGGGAGCTGCCACCTCCATAGTGGCTGCCATGCTGGGTTTGCCAGTTGTGGACACGCCGAAGGAGGGCATCTTAAACTTGGGCATCTTGAACTTGCTGTCTTTGGTGGCCTCATGCGTTACAGCATGGGGAAGATCCTCCTGTAGCTTGGCACCTTGGGCCTGGACGTCTACCTTCACGCCAGGCAAGGACACCGCCATGTCAGGCCCACTAATCTCAGCTTTGGGGCTTTTCACGTCCACCGTGGGGCCCTTCAGGTCCACCTTGGGCATCTTGAAGCTGGGCATCTGCAAATTGGGCAGGTGGCCCTTCAGGATGGCTCCGTCAGCATCCTGTGTGGTCGTCTCTCCTTCAGGCAGCTGGACTTCTGCCACCTTCACATCTACCTGGCCCGCTTTGACCTCCAGGTTAGAGGACGGCAGATGAATGTTGAGGCTTGGAGATTTAAGTTCACCCTGCATGGAAGGCAGGGACACCTCTGCCTCCATCTTGGGAGCTGCCACCTCCATAGTGGCTTCCATGCTGGGTTTGCCTGTTGCGGAAACGCCAAAAGAGGGCATCTTGAACTTGGGCATCTTGAACTTGCTGTCTTTGACGGCCATGTCCTTATCGACCATGGCCTGGTCCCCATCCAGTTTGACACCTGGAGCCTGGACATGAACCTCCACGCTGGGCAGGGACACCTCTAAATCCTGCATTTTCACATCGCTTTTGGGGCTTTTCACCTCCACCGTGGGGCCCTTTGCGTCCACTGTGGGGCCCTTCTGCTCCACTTTGGGGTCCTTGAAGTCCACATGGGGTCCCTTCAGGTCCACCTTGGGCATCTTGAAGCTGGGCATCTTGAACTTGCTGTCTTTGGTGGCCACATCCTTTTCAGAATGGGGCAGGTCCTTCTGTAGCTTGGCACCTAGGGCCTGGACGTCTACCTTCACGCCAGGCAAGGACACCTCCATGTCAGGCCCACTAATCTCAGCTTTGGGGCTTTTCACGTCCACTGTGGGGCCATTTTCATCCGCTGTGGGGTCCTTCACGTCCACTGTGGGGCCCTTTTTGTCCACCTTGGGCATCTTGAAGCTGGGCATCTGTATTTTGGGCAGGTGGCCCTTCAGGCTGGCTCCGTCAGCATCCTGTGCGATCTGTTCTCCCTCAGGCAGCTGCACGTCTGCTATCTTCACATCAGCCTGGCCTGCCTTGACCTCCAGCTTGGAGGACGGCAGATGAATGCTGAGGTCTGGAGTCTTAAGTTCACCCTGCATGGAGAGCGGGGACCCCTCTGCTTCCATCTTGGGAGCTGCCACCTCCATAGTGGCTGCCATGCTGGGTTTGCCAGTTGTGGACACGCCGAAGGAGGGCATCTTAAACTTGGGCATCTTGAACTTGCTGTCTTTGGTGGCCTCATGCGTTACAGCATGGGGAAGATCCTCCTGTAGCTTGGCACCTTGGGCCTGGACGTCTACCTTCACGCCAGGCAAGGACACCTCCATGTCAGGCCCACTAATCTCAGCTTTGGGGCTTTTCATGTCCACCGTGGGGCCCTTCGCGTCCACTGTGGGGCCCTTCACGTCCACTGTGGGGCCCTTCAGGTCCATCTTGGGCATCTTGAAGCTGGGCATCTGCAAATTGGGCAGGTGGCCCTTCAGGATGGCTCCGTCAGCATCCTGTGCGATCTGTTCTCCCTCAGGCAGCTGCACGTCTGCTATCTTCACATCTGCCTGGCCTGCCTTGACCTCCAGCTTGGAGGACGGCAGATGAATGCTGAGGTCTGGAGTCTTAAGTTCACCCTGCATGGAGAGCGGGGACCCCTCTGCTTCCATCTTGGGAGCTGCCACCTCCATAGTGGCTGCCATGCTGGGTTTGCCAGTTGTGGACACGCCGAAGGAGGGCATCTTAAACTTGGGCATCTTGAACTTGCTGTCTTTGGTGGCCTCATGCGTTACAGCATGGGGAAGATCCTCCTGTAGCTTGGCACCTTGGGCCTGGACATCTACCTTCACGCCAGGCAAGGACACCTCCATGTCAGGCCCACTAATCTCAGCTTTGGGGCTTTTCACGTCCACGGTGGGGCCCTTCGCGTCCACTGTGGGGCCCTTCACGTCCACTGTGGGGCCCTTCAGGTCCATCTTGGGCATCTTGAAGCTGGGCATCTGCAAATTGGGCAGGTGGCCCTTCAGGATGGCTCCGTCAGCATCCTGTGCGGTCGTCTCTCCTTCAGGCAGCTGGACTTCTGCCACCTTCACATCTACCTGGCCAGCTTTGACCTCCAGGTTAGAGGACGGCAGATGAATGTTGAGGCTTGGAGACTTAAGTTCACCCTGCATGGAAGGCAGGGACACCTCTGCCTCCATCTTGGGAGCTGCCACCTCCATAGTGGCTTCCATGCTGGGTTTGCCTGTTGCGGAAACGCCAAAAGAGGGCATCTTGAACTTGGGCATCTTGAACTTGCTGTCTTTGACGGCCATGTCCTTATCGACCATGGCCTGGTCCCCATCCAGTTTGACACCTGGAGCCTGGACATGAACCTCCACGCTGGGCAGGGAAACCTCTAAATCCTGCATTTTCACATCGCTTTGGGGGCTTTTCACCTCCACCGTGGGGCCCTTTGCGTCCACTGTGGGGCCCTTCTGCTCCACTTTGGGGTCCTTGAAGTCCACATGGGGTCCCTTCAGGTCCACCTTGGGCATCTTGAAGCTGGGCATCTTGAACTTGCTGTCTTTGGTGGCCTCATGCGTTACAGCATGGGGAAGATCCTCCTGTAGCTTGGCACCTAGGGCCTGGATGTCTACCTTCACGCCAGGCAAGGACACCTGCATGTCAGGCCCACTAATCTCATCTTTGGGGCTTTTCACGTCCACTGTGGGGCCCTTTTCATCCGCTGTGGGGTCCTTCACGTCCACTGTGGGGCCCTTTTTGTCCACCTTGGGCATCTTGAAGCTGGGCATCTGTATTTTGGGCAGGTGGCCCTTCAGGCTGGCTCCGTCAGCATCCTGTGCGATCTGTTCTCCCTCAGGCAGCTGCACGTCTGCTATCTTCACATCTGCCTGGCCTGCCTTGACCTCCAGCTTGGAGGACGGCAGATGAATGCTGAGGTCTGGAGTCTTAAGTTCACCCTGCATGGAGAGCGGGGACCCCTCTGCTTCCATCTTGGGAGCTGCCACCTCCATAGTGGCTGCCATGCTGGGTTTGCCAGTTGTGGACACGCCGAAGGAGGGCATCTTAAACTTGGGCATCTTGAACTTGCTGTCTTTGGTGGCCTCATGCGTTACAGCATGGGGAAGATCCTCCTGTAGCTTGGCACCTTGGGCCTGGACGTCTACCTTCACGCCAGGCAAGGACACCTCCATGTCAGGCCCACTAATCTCAGCTTTGGGGCTTTTCATGTCCACCGTGGGGCCCTTCACGTCCACTGTGGGGCCCTTCACGTCCACTGTGGGGCCCTTCAGGTCCATCTTGGGCATCTTGAAGCTGGGCATCTGCAAATTGGGCAGGTGGCCCTTCAGGATGGCTCCGTCAGCATCCTGTGCGGTCGTCTCACCTTCAGGCAGCTGGACTTCTGCCACCTTCACATCTACCTGGCCAGCTTTGACCTCCAGGTTAGAGGACGGCAGATGAATGTTGAGGCTTGGAGACTTAAGTTCACCCTGCATGGAAGGCAGGGACACCTCTGCCTCCATCTTGGGAGCTGCCACCTCCATAGTGGCTTCCATGCTGGGTTTGCCTGTTGCGGAAACGCCAAAAGAGGGCATCTTGAACTTGGGCATCTTGAACTTGCTGTCTTTGACGGCCATGTCCTTATCGACCATGGCCTGGTCCCCATCCAGTTTGACACCTGGAGCCTGGACATGAACCTCCACGCTGGGCAGGGACACCTCTAAACCCTGCATTTTCACATCGCTTTTGGGGCTTTTCACCTCCACCGTGGGTCTCTTTGCGTCCACTGTGGGGCCCTTCTGCTCCACTTTGGGGTCCTTCAAGTCCACATGGGGTCCCTTCAGGTCCACCTTGGGCATCTTGAAGCTGGGCATCTTGAACTTGCTGTCTTTGGTGGCCACATCCTTTTCAGCATGGGGCAGGTCCTTCTGTAGCTTGGCACCTAGGGCCTGGACGTCTACCTTCACGCCAGGCAAGGACACTTCCATGTCAGGCCCACTAATCTCAGCTTTGGGGCTTTTCACGTCCACTGTGGGGCCCTTTTCATCCGCTGTGGGGTCCTTCACATCCACTGTGGGGCCCTTTTTGTCCATCTTGGGCATCTTGAAGCTGGGCATCTGTATTTTGGGCAGGTGGCCCTTCAGGCTGGCTCCGTCAGCATCCTGTGTGATCTGTTCTCCCTCAGGCAGCTGCACGTCTGCTATCTTCACATCTGCCTGGCCTGCCTTGATCTCCAGCTTGGAGGACGGCAGATGAATGCTGAGGTCTGGAGTCTTAAGTTCACCCTGCATGGAGAGCGGGGACCCCTCTGCTTCCATCTTGGGAGCTGCCACCTCCATAGTGGCTGCCATGCTGGGTTTGCCAGTTGTGGACACGCCGAAGGAGGGCATCATAAACTTGGGCATCTTGAACTTGCTGTCTATGGTGGCCTCATGCACTACAGCACGGGGAAGATCCTCCTGTAGCTTGGCACCTTGGGCCTGGACGTCTACCTTCACGCAAGGCAAGGACACCTCCATGTCAGGCCCACTAATCTCAGCTTTGGGGCTTTTCACGTCCACTGTGTGGCCCTTCACGTCCACTGTGGGGCCCTTCACGTCCACTGTGGGGCCCTTCATGTCCACTGTGGAGCCCTTCAGGTCCACCTTGGGCATCTTGAAGCTGGGCATCTGCAAATTGGGCAGGTGGCCCTTCAGGATGGCTCCGTCAGCATCCTGTGCGGTCGTCTCTCCTTCAGGCAGCTGGACTTCTGCCACCTTCACATCTACCTTTCCAGCTTTGACCTCCAGATTAGAGGACGGCAGATGAATGTTGAGCCTTGGAGACTTAAGTTCACCCTGCATGGAAGGCAGGGACACCTCTGCCTCCATCTTGGGAGCTGCCACCTCCATAGTGGCTTCCATACTGGGTTTGCCTGTTGCGGAAACGCCAAAAGAGGACATCTTGGTCTTGGGCATCTTGAACTTGCTGTCTTTGACGGCCATGTCCTTATCGACCATGGCCTGGTCCCCATCCAGTTTGACACCTGGAGCCTGGACATGAACCTCCACGCTGGGCAGGGACACCTCTAAATCCTGCATTTTCACATCGCTTTTGGGGCTTTTCACGTCCACGGTGGGGCCCTTTGCGTCCACTGTGGGGCCCTTTGCGTCCACTGTGGGGCCCTTCTGCTCCACTTTGGGGTCCTTGAAGTCCACATGGGGTCCCTTCAGGTCCACCTTGGGCATCTTGAAGCTGGGCATCTTGAACTTGCTGTCTTTGGTGGCCTCATGCGTTACAGCATGGGGAAGATCCTCCTGTAGCTTGGCACCTAGGGCCTGGATGTCTACCTTCACGCCAGGCAAGGACACCTGCATGTCAGGCCCACTAATCTCATCTTTGGGGCTTTTCACGTCTACTGTGGGGCCCTTTTCATCCGCTGTGGGGTCCTTCACGTCCACTGTGGGGCCCTTTTTGTCCACCTTGGGCATCTTGAAGCTGGGCATCTGTATTTTGGGCAGGTGGCCCTTCAGGCTGGCTCCGTCAGCATCCTGTGTGATCTGTTCTCCCTCAGGCAGCTGCACGTCTGCTATCTTCACATCAGCCTGGCCTGCCTTGACCTCCAGCTTGGAGGACGGCAGATGAATGCTGAGGTCTGGAGTCTTAAGTTCACCCTGCATGGAGAGCGGGGACCCCTCTGATTCCATCTTGGGAGCTGCCACCTCCATAGTGGCTGCCATGCTGGGTTTGCCAGTTGTGGACACGCCGAAGGAGGGCATCTTAAACTTGGGCATCTTGAACTTGCTGTCTTTGGTGGCCTCATGCGTTACAGCATGGGGAAGATCCTCCTGTAGCTTGGCACCTTGGGCCTGGACGTCTACCTTCACGCCAGGCAAGGACACCTCCATGTCAGGCCCACTAATCTCAGCTTTGGGGCTTTTCACCTCCACCGTGGGGCCCTTTGCGTCCACTGTGGGGCCCTTTGCGTCCACTGTGGGGCCCTTCTGCTCCACTTTGGGGTCCTTCAAGTCCACATGGGGTCCCTTCAGGTCCACCTTGGGCATCTTGAAGCTGGGCATCTTGAACTTGCTGTCTTTGGTGGCCACATCCTTTTCAGCATGGGGCACGTCCTTCTGTAGCTTGGCACCTAGGGCCTGGACGTCTACCTTCACGCAAGGCAAGGACACTTCCATGTCAGGCCCACTAATCTCAGCTTTGGGGCTTTTCACGTCCACTGTGGGGCCCTTTTCATCCGCTGTGGGGTCCTTCACGTCCACTGTGGGGCCCTTTTTGTCCACCTTGGGCATCTTGAAGTTGGGCATCTGTATTTTGGGCAGGTGGCCCTTCAGGCTGGCTCCGTCAGCATCCTGTGCGATCTGTTCTCCCTCAGGCAGCTGCACGTCTGCTATCTTCACATCTGCCTGGCCTGCCTTGACCTCCAGCTTGGAGGACGGCAGATGAATGCTGAGGTCTGGAGTCTTAAGTTCACCCTGCATGGAGAGCGGGGACCCCTCTGCTTCCATCTTGGGAGCTGCCACCTCCATAGTGGCTGCCATGCTGGGTTTGCCAGTTGTGGACATGCCGAAGGAGGGCATCTTAAACTTGGGCATCTTGAACTTGCTGTCTTTGGTGGCCTCATGCGTTACAGCATGGGGAAGATCCTCCTGTAGCTTGGCACCTAGGGCCTGGACGTCTACCTTCACGCCAGGCAAGGACACCTCCATGTCAGGCCCACTAATCTCAGCTTTGGGGCTTTTCACGTCCACCGTGGGGCCCTTTGCGTCCACTGTGGGGCCCTTTGCGTCCACTGTGGGGCCCTTCTGCTCCACTTTGGGGTCCTTCAAGTCCACATGGGGTCCCTTCAGGTCCACCTTGGGCATCTTGAAGCTGGGCATCTTGAACTTGCTGTCTTTGGTGGCCACATCCTTTTCAGCATGGGGCACGTCCTTCTGTAACTTGGCACCTAGGGCCTGGACGTCTACCTTCACGCCAGGCAAGGACACTTCCATGTCAGGCCCACTATTCTCAGCTTTGGGGCTTTTCACGTCCACTGTGGGGCCCTTTTCATCCGCTGTGGGGTCCTTCACGTCCACTGTTGGGCCCTTTTTGTCCACCTTGGGCATCTTGAAGCTGGGCATCTGTATTTTGGGCAGGTGGCCCTTCAGGCTGGCTCCGTCAGCATCCTGTGCGATCTGTTCTCCCTCAGGCAGCTGCACGTCTGCTATCTTCACATCTGCCTGGCCTGCCTTGACCTCCAGCTTGGAGGACGGCAGATGAATGCTGAGGTCTGGAGTCTTAAGTTCACCCTGCATGGAGAGTGGGGACCCCTCTGCTTCCATCTTGGGAGCTGCCACCTCCATAGTGGCTGCCATGCTGGGTTTGCCAGTTGTGGACACGCCGAAGGAGGGCATCTTAAACTTGGGCATCTTGAACTTGCTGTCTTTGGTGGCCTCATGCGTTACAGCATGGGGAAGATCCTCCTGTAGCTTGGCACCTTGGGCCTGGACGTCTACCTTCACGCCAGGCAAGGACACCTCCATGTCAGGCCCACTAATCTCAGCTTTGGGGCTTTTCACGTCCACGGTGGGGCCCTTTGCGTCCACTGTGGGGCCCTTTGCGTCCACTGTGGGGCCCTTCTGCTCCACTTTGGGGTCCTTCAAGTCCACATGGGGTCCCTTCAGGTCCACCTTGGGCATCTTGAAGCTGGGCATCTTGAACTTGCTGTCTTTGGTGGCCACATCCTTTTCAGCATGGGGCAGGTCCTTCTGTAGCTTGGCACCTAGGGCCTGGACGTCTACCTTCACGCCAGGCAAGGACACTTCCATGTCAGGCCCACTAATCTCAGCTTTGGGGCTTTTCACGTCCACTGTGGGGCCCTTTTCATCCGCTGTGGGGTCCTTCACGTCCACTGTGGGGCCCTTTTTGTCCACCTTGGGCATCTTGAAGCTGGGCATCTGTATTTTGGGCAGGTGGCCCTTCAGGCTGGCTCCGTCAGCATCCTGTGCGATCTGTTCTCCCTCAGGCAGCTGCACGTCTGCTATCTTCACATCTGCCTGGCCTGCCTTGACCTCCAGCTTGGAGGACGGCAGATGAATGCTGAGGTCTGGAGTCTTAAGTTCACCCTGCATGGAGAGCGGGGACCCCTCTGCTTCCATCTTGGGAGCTGCCACCTCCATAGTGGCTGCCATGCTGGGTTTGCCAGTTGTGGACACGCCGAAGGAGGGCATCTTAAACTTGGGCATCTTGAACTTGCTGTCTTTGGTGGCCTCATGCGTTACAGCATGGGGAAGATCCTCCTGTAGCTTGGCACCTTGGGCCTGGACGTCTACCTTCACGCCAGGCAAGGACACCTCCATGTCAGGCCCACTAATCTCAGCTTTGGGGCTTTTCACGTCCACCGTGGGGCCCTTTGCGTCCACTGTGGGGCCCTTCACGTCCACTGTGGGGCCCTTCACGTCCACTGTGGGGCCCTTCAGGTCCACCTTGGGCATCTTGAAGCTGGGCATCTGCAAATTGGGCAGGTGGCCCTTCAGGATGGCTCCGTCAGCATCCAGTGCGGTCGTCTCTCCTTCAGGCAGCTGGACTTCTGCCACCTTCACATCTACCTGGCCAGCTTTGACCTCCAGGTTAGAGGACGGCAGATGAATGTTGAGGCTTGGAGACTTAAGTTCACCCTGCATGGAAGGCAGGGACACCTCTGCCTCCATCTTGGGAGCTGCCACCTCCATAGTGGCTTCCATGCTGGGTTTGCCTGTTGCGGAAACGCCAAAAGAGGGCATCTTGAACTTGGGCATCTTGAACTTGCTGTCTTTGACGGCCATGTCCTTATCGACCATGGCCTGGTCCCCATCCAGTTTGACACCTGGAGCCTGGACATGAACCTCCACGCTGGGCAGGGAAACCTCTAAATCCTGCATTTTCACATCGCTTTGGGGGCTTTTCACCTCCACCGTGGGGCCCTTTGCGTCCACTGTGGGGCCCTTCTGCTCCACTTTGGGGTCCTTGAAGTCCACATGGGGTCCCTTCAGGTCCACCTTGGGCATCTTGAAGCTGGGCATCTTGAACTTGCTGTCTTTGGTGGCCTCATGCGTTACAGCATGGGGAAGATCCTCCTGTAGCTTGGCACCTAGGGCCTGGATGTCTACCTTCACGCCAGGCAAGGACACCTGCATGTCAGGCCCACTAATCTCATCTTTGGGGCTTTTCACGTCCACTGTGGGGCCCTTTTCATCCGCTGTGGGGTCCTTCACGTCCACTGTGGGGCCCTTTTTGTCCACCTTGGGCATCTTGAAGCTGGGCATCTGTATTTTGGGCAGGTGGCCCTTCAGGCTGGCTCCGTCAGCATCCTGTGCGATCTGTTCTCCCTCAGGCAGCTGCACGTCTGCTATCTTCACATCTGCCTGGCCTGCCTTGACCTCCAGCTTGGAGGACGGCAGATGAATGCTGAGGTCTGGAGTCTTAAGTTCACCCTGCATGGAGAGCGGGGACCCCTCTGCTTCCATCTTGGGAGCTGCCACCTCCATAGTGGCTGCCATGCTGGGTTTGCCAGTTGTGGACACGCCGAAGGAGGGCATCTTAAACTTGGGCATCTTGAACTTGCTGTCTTTGGTGGCCTCATGCGTTACAGCATGGGGAAGATCCTCCTGTAGCTTGGCACCTTGGGCCTGGACGTCTACCTTCACGCCAGGCAAGGACACCTCCATGTCAGGCCCACTAATCTCAGCTTTGGGGCTTTTCATGTCCACCGTGGGGCCCTTCACGTCCACTGTGGGGCCCTTCACGTCCACTGTGGGGCCCTTCAGGTCCATCTTGGGCATCTTGAAGCTGGGCATCTGCAAATTGGGCAGGTGGCCCTTCAGGATGGCTCCGTCAGCATCCTGTGCGGTCGTCTCTCCTTCAGGCAGCTGGACTTCTGCCACCTTCACATCTACCTGGCCAGCTTTGACCTCCAGGTTAGAGGACGGCAGATGAATGTTGAGGCTTGGAGACTTAAGTTCACCCTGCATGGAAGGCAGGGACACCTCTGCCTCCATCTTGGGAGCTGCCACCTCCATAGTGGCTTCCATGCTGGGTTTGCCTGTTGCGGAAACGCCAAAAGAGGGCATCTTGAACTTGGGCATCTTGAACTTGCTGTCTTTGACGGCCATGTCCTTATCGACCATGGCCTGGTCCCCATCCAGTTTGACACCTGGAGCCTGGACATGAACCTCCACGCTGGGCAGGGACACCTCTAAACCCTGCATTTTCACATCGCTTTTGGGGCTTTTCACCTCCACCGTGGGTCTCTTTGCGTCCACTGTGGGGCCCTTCTGCTCCACTTTGGGGTCCTTCAAGTCCACATGGGGTCCCTTCAGGTCCACCTTGGGCATCTTGAAGCTGGGCATCTTGAACTTGCTGTCTTTGGTGGCCACATCCTTTTCAGCATGGGGCAGGTCCTTCTGTAGCTTGGCACCTAGGGCCTGGACGTCTACCTTCACGCCAGGCAAGGACACTTCCATGTCAGGCCCACTAATCTCAGCTTTGGGGCTTTTCACGTCCACTGTGGGGCCCTTTTCATCCGCTGTGGGGTCCTTCACATCCACTGTGGGGCCCTTTTTGTCCATCTTGGGCATCTTGAAGCTGGGCATCTGTATTTTGGGCAGGTGGCCCTTCAGGCTGGCTCCGTCAGCATCCTGTGTGATCTGTTCTCCCTCAGGCAGCTGCACGTCTGCTATCTTCACATCTGCCTGGCCTGCCTTGATCTCCAGCTTGGAGGACGGCAGATGAATGCTGAGGTCTGGAGTCTTAAGTTCACCCTGCATGGAGAGCGGGGACCCCTCTGCTTCCATCTTGGGAGCTGCCACCTCCATAGTGGCTGCCATGCTGGGTTTGCCAGTTGTGGACACGCCGAAGGAGGGCATCATAAACTTGGGCATCTTGAACTTGCTGTCTATGGTGGCCTCATGCACTACAGCACGGGGAAGATCCTCCTGTAGCTTGGCACCTTGGGCCTGGACGTCTACCTTCACGCAAGGCAAGGACACCTCCATGTCAGGCCCACTAATCTCAGCTTTGGGGCTTTTCACGTCCACTGTGTGGCCCTTCACGTCCACTGTGGGGCCCTTCACGTCCACTGTGGGGCCCTTCATGTCCACTGTGGAGCCCTTCAGGTCCACCTTGGGCATCTTGAAGCTGGGCATCTGCAAATTGGGCAGGTGGCCCTTCAGGATGGCTCCGTCAGCATCCTGTGCGGTCGTCTCTCCTTCAGGCAGCTGGACTTCTGCCACCTTCACATCTACCTTTCCAGCTTTGACCTCCAGATTAGAGGACGGCAGATGAATGTTGAGCCTTGGAGACTTAAGTTCACCCTGCATGGAAGGCAGGGACACCTCTGCCTCCATCTTGGGAGCTGCCACCTCCATAGTGGCTTCCATACTGGGTTTGCCTGTTGCGGAAACGCCAAAAGAGGACATCTTGGTCTTGGGCATCTTGAACTTGCTGTCTTTGACGGCCATGTCCTTATCGACCATGGCCTGGTCCCCATCCAGTTTGACACCTGGAGCCTGGACATGAACCTCCACGCTGGGCAGGGACACCTCTAAATCCTGCATTTTCACATCGCTTTTGGGGCTTTTCACGTCCACGGTGGGGCCCTTTGCGTCCACTGTGGGGCCCTTTGCGTCCACTGTGGGGCCCTTCTGCTCCACTTTGGGGTCCTTGAAGTCCACATGGGGTCCCTTCAGGTCCACCTTGGGCATCTTGAAGCTGGGCATCTTGAACTTGCTGTCTTTGGTGGCCTCATGCGTTACAGCATGGGGAAGATCCTCCTGTAGCTTGGCACCTAGGGCCTGGATGTCTACCTTCACGCCAGGCAAGGACACCTGCATGTCAGGCCCACTAATCTCATCTTTGGGGCTTTTCACGTCTACTGTGGGGCCCTTTTCATCCGCTGTGGGGTCCTTCACGTCCACTGTGGGGCCCTTTTTGTCCACCTTGGGCATCTTGAAGCTGGGCATCTGTATTTTGGGCAGGTGGCCCTTCAGGCTGGCTCCGTCAGCATCCTGTGTGATCTGTTCTCCCTCAGGCAGCTGCACGTCTGCTATCTTCACATCAGCCTGGCCTGCCTTGACCTCCAGCTTGGAGGACGGCAGATGAATGCTGAGGTCTGGAGTCTTAAGTTCACCCTGCATGGAGAGCGGGGACCCCTCTGATTCCATCTTGGGAGCTGCCACCTCCATAGTGGCTGCCATGCTGGGTTTGCCAGTTGTGGACACGCCGAAGGAGGGCATCTTAAACTTGGGCATCTTGAACTTGCTGTCTTTGGTGGCCTCATGCGTTACAGCATGGGGAAGATCCTCCTGTAGCTTGGCACCTTGGGCCTGGACGTCTACCTTCACGCCAGGCAAGGACACCTCCATGTCAGGCCCACTAATCTCAGCTTTGGGGCTTTTCACCTCCACCGTGGGGCCCTTTGCGTCCACTGTGGGGCCCTTTGCGTCCACTGTGGGGCCCTTCTGCTCCACTTTGGGGTCCTTCAAGTCCACATGGGGTCCCTTCAGGTCCACCTTGGGCATCTTGAAGCTGGGCATCTTGAACTTGCTGTCTTTGGTGGCCACATCCTTTTCAGCATGGGGCACGTCCTTCTGTAGCTTGGCACCTAGGGCCTGGACGTCTACCTTCACGCAAGGCAAGGACACTTCCATGTCAGGCCCACTAATCTCAGCTTTGGGGCTTTTCACGTCCACTGTGGGGCCCTTTTCATCCGCTGTGGGGTCCTTCACGTCCACTGTGGGGCCCTTTTTGTCCACCTTGGGCATCTTGAAGTTGGGCATCTGTATTTTGGGCAGGTGGCCCTTCAGGCTGGCTCCGTCAGCATCCTGTGCGATCTGTTCTCCCTCAGGCAGCTGCACGTCTGCTATCTTCACATCTGCCTGGCCTGCCTTGACCTCCAGCTTGGAGGACGGCAGATGAATGCTGAGGTCTGGAGTCTTAAGTTCACCCTGCATGGAGAGCGGGGACCCCTCTGCTTCCATCTTGGGAGCTGCCACCTCCATAGTGGCTGCCATGCTGGGTTTGCCAGTTGTGGACATGCCGAAGGAGGGCATCTTAAACTTGGGCATCTTGAACTTGCTGTCTTTGGTGGCCTCATGCGTTACAGCATGGGGAAGATCCTCCTGTAGCTTGGCACCTTGGGCCTGGACGTCTACCTTCACGCCAGGCAAGGACACCTCCATGTCAGGCCCACTAATCTCAGCTTTGGGGCTTTTCACGTCCACCGTGGGGCCCTTTGCGTCCACTGTGGGGCCCTTTGCGTCCACTGTGGGGCCCTTCTGCTCCACTTTGGGGTCCTTCAAGTCCACATGGGGTCCCTTCAGGTCCACCTTGGGCATCTTGAAGCTGGGCATCTTGAACTTGCTGTCTTTGGTGGCCACATCCTTTTCAGCATGGGGCACGTCCTTCTGTAACTTGGCACCTAGGGCCTGGACGTCTACCTTCACGCCAGGCAAGGACACTTCCATGTCAGGCCCACTATTCTCAGCTTTGGGGCTTTTCACGTCCACTGTGGGGCCCTTTTCATCCGCTGTGGGGTCCTTCACGTCCACTGTTGGGCCCTTTTTGTCCACCTTGGGCATCTTGAAGCTGGGCATCTGTATTTTGGGCAGGTGGCCCTTCAGGCTGGCTCCGTCAGCATCCTGTGCGATCTGTTCTCCCTCAGGCAGCTGCACGTCTGCTATCTTCACATCTGCCTGGCCTGCCTTGACCTCCAGCTTGGAGGACGGCAGATGAATGCTGAGGTCTGGAGTCTTAAGTTCACCCTGCATGGAGAGTGGGGACCCCTCTGCTTCCATCTTGGGAGCTGCCACCTCCATAGTGGCTGCCATGCTGGGTTTGCCAGTTGTGGACACGCCGAAGGAGGGCATCTTAAACTTGGGCATCTTGAACTTGCTGTCTTTGGTGGCCTCATGCGTTACAGCATGGGGAAGATCCTCCTGTAGCTTGGCACCTTGGGCCTGGACGTCTACCTTCACGCCAGGCAAGGACACCTCCATGTCAGGCCCACTAATCTCAGCTTTGGGGCTTTTCACGTCCACGGTGGGGCCCTTTGCGTCCACTGTGGGGCCCTTTGCGTCCACTGTGGGGCCCTTCTGCTCCACTTTGGGGTCCTTCAAGTCCACATGGGGTCCCTTCAGGTCCACCTTGGGCATCTTGAAGCTGGGCATCTTGAACTTGCTGTCTTTGGTGGCCACATCCTTTTCAGCATGGGGCAGGTCCTTCTGTAGCTTGGCACCTAGGGCCTGGACGTCTACCTTCACGCCAGGCAAGGACACTTCCATGTCAGGCCCACTAATCTCAGCTTTGGGGCTTTTCACGTCCACTGTGGGGCCCTTTTCATCCGCTGTGGGGTCCTTCACGTCCACTGTGGGGCCCTTTTTGTCCACCTTGGGCATCTTGAAGCTGGGCATCTGTATTTTGGGCAGGTGGCCCTTCAGGCTGGCTCCGTCAGCATCCTGTGCGATCTGTTCTCCCTCAGGCAGCTGCACGTCTGCTATCTTCACATCTGCCTGGCCTGCCTTGACCTCCAGCTTGGAGGACGGCAGATGAATGCTGAGGTCTGGAGTCTTAAGTTCACCCTGCATGGAGAGCGGGGACCCCTCTGCTTCCATCTTGGGAGCTGCCACCTCCATAGTGGCTGCCATGCTGGGTTTGCCAGTTGTGGACACGCCGAAGGAGGGCATCTTAAACTTGGGCATCTTGAACTTGCTGTCTTTGGTGGCCTCATGCGTTACAGCATGGGGAAGATCCTCCTGTAGCTTGGCACCTTGGGCCTGGACGTCTACCTTCACGCCAGGCAAGGACACCTCCATGTCAGGCCCACTAATCTCAGCTTTGGGGCTTTTCACGTCCACCGTGGGGCCCTTTGCGTCCACTGTGGGGCCCTTCACGTCCACTGTGGGGCCCTTCACGTCCACTGTGGGGCCCTTCAGGTCCACCTTGGGCATCTTGAAGCTGGGCATCTGCAAATTGGGCAGGTGGCCCTTCAGGATGGCTCCGTCAGCATCCAGTGCGGTCGTCTCTCCTTCAGGCAGCTGGACTTCTGCCACCTTCACATCTACCTGGCCAGCTTTGACCTCCAGGTTAGAGGACGGCAGATGAATGTTGAGGCTTGGAGACTTAAGTTCACCCTGCATGGAAGGCAGGGACACCTCTGCCTCCATCTTGGGAGCTGCCACCTCCATAGTGGCTTCCATGCTGGGTTTGCCTGTTGCGGAAACGCCAAAAGAGGGCATCTTGAACTTGGGCATCTTGAACTTGCTGTCTTTGACGGCCATGTCCTTATCGACCATGGCCTGGTCCCCATCCAGTTTGACACCTGGAGCCTGGACATGAACCTCCACGCTGGGCAGGGACACCTCTAAATCCTGCATTTTCACATCGCTTTGGGGGCTTTTCACATCCACCGTGGGGCCCTTTGCGTCCACTGTGGGGCCCTTCTGCTCCACTTTGGGGTCCTTCAAGTCCACATGGGGTCCCTTCAGGTCCACCTTGGGCATCTTGAAGCTGAGCATCTTGAACTTGCTGTCTTTGGTGGCCACATCCTTTTCAGCATGGGGCACGTCCTTCTGTAGCTTGGCACCTAGGGCCTGGACGTCTACCTTCACGCCAGGCAAGGACACCTCCATGTCAGGCCCACTAATCTCAGCTTTGGGGCTTTTCACGTCCACTGTGGGGCCCTTTTCATCCGCTGTGGGGTCCTTCACGTCCACTGTGGGGCCCTTTTTGTCCACCTTGGGCATCTTGAAGCTGGGCATCTGTATTTTGGGCAGGTGGCCCTTCAGGCTGGCTCCGTCAGCATCCTGTGCGATCTGTTCTCCCTCAGGCAGCTGCACGTCTGCTATCTTCACATCTGCCTGGCCTGCCTTGACCTCCAGCTTGGAGGACGGCAGATGAATGCTGAGGTCTGGAGTCTTAAGTTCACCCTGCATGGAGGGCAGGGACATCTCTGCTTCCATCTTGTGTGTTTGCACCACCATCGAAGCCTGTGTACCAGGTTTGCCTGGTGGAGACTCACAAAAGCATGGCTCCTTGAGCTTGGTCATCTTGAAGCTTATTTCTCTTTCTGAGCATTCCCCGCCGTTGTCTCCAATGTCTGCCTCTATGTGCATTGCCTGTGCAGCCTTTCTGCTCTCTGTTTTCTCTGATATCTGTCTGTCTTCCTTACATTCCCTTTCCTTTTTCTCTGGTTCCTCTTTCCGTTTTTCTTCGTCCATTGTCTCATTGTCCTCTGTACTCACTTCTTTTCTCTCCCTCTTCACTGTTACTGCCTCCTTATTTGGAGACCTTCCAAAGGATGGTATCCTGAACTTCGGCATCTTCACCTTTATTTGTCCTGTCTGTGTGACCTGTTCTGTGTCTTTCTTCTCCTGTTCACTCTCCCAGCCTGCTCTTCCACCCTTTCCTCCTTTTTCTGTAGCGTTTCCCTTCCTTCCTTGTGACTCCGCTGGCACTTGCCTGTCTTTTCTGCCCCTGTCTACTGGTTCTCTCCTTTCCTTCTCCCCTATTCCAACTTCTTTACTTCCTTTTTTTGTCTCTTTTGTCTTGTTTTTCGAAAACCCAGTTTCTGGGGTTTTTGAGTTGCACAGTGCAAGCTGTGTGCTGCCTTGGTCAGGTTTGTCTTGCAGGGACAGTCTTGCAATGCCCATCTCCAGACTTTCTACTATCTCCCATTCGTCATCCCAGCTGCTTCCTGGGGCTGGCTCTGCTCTGTGCTGGCTAAATGTCTTCTCCTTGTCTTGTTTTGCCAACTGCTTTTTCTTTCTTTGATGTTTGTCTGTTTTCACCACCATTTCTCCAGGGCCTTCTTTTTCCAAGTTGGAATGACTGAGCTTCGTGGGCATCTGTGTAGCTAGAGCAGACGTGAACCCAGATGCCTGTGTCTCATCCTCCTGTAACTGGGACTCTTCCAGCAGTCCAGCATGACCGTGCCTGTCCTGTGGCTCTCTGCTTGCCTGCTCAGTTATATTTGCGCCCTGCCCTGAGCGCATCCCAAATCTCAGGTTCAGGAACTTCCTTCTTCGTCTTCTTGTCCCTGACTTCTGCTCCTGGCTGTCAGCTGTCAGCTGGGCCTCTGTGTCTGTGCTTGTGGGGGACACTTCATGTGTGTCCCTTTGCTCTGAGGCTTCTGAGGAACTGTGTGAGCGTCGGGGACCTGATGCCCGCTTGCTCCCTAAGGCTTGAAATTTTGGCCAGGAGAGTCTGTCCTGGGGACGCCTCTGGCGACCGTCCCTGGACTTAGAAATAAGCCTTTCTCGGTCTCCATCTACCTCTAGTGTCTTTGTAGGGGTCTCCATGTATCCATCAGCAGTGTCCTTGTCCTGAAACAGGAGAAGACGCTGTTTGGTTTGGGTACAATAACCAGTACTGGAGACACTGTTCACAGGAATGGGGTCTCTGGGGCAGCTGGGGATACCTTGCATCTCTCTGGGCATGACCTTACCTGCTTTTCCTGGCTTTTCAAGCCTTGCTGAGAATGCAGAATGGCTGACTCCTCTCCCTTGCTGGCAGAGAGCTTCCGTTTGATTCTGAACTGCACTTTGTATGGTTCTGAGTACTGAAGGATTTTAAGAGCATCTTCATATTTCATGTGGTCAAAGAATATGGTTGCACTGAGAAGTTGATCCCCTAAGGGAAGAGGAAACCAAGTTCTGTGCCCCAGTCCCCACCAGAATAGAAATGGCCGTGGGGCTGCATTGGCAAGAGGAAGGCCTACAGCCAGCTCCCCAAAGGCACCTCAAACACCTGGCAGAAAATCAGGGCACAGTGGGCAGTCCCAGCTTAGGCTGGCTGAGCAAAGCCCATGGGGCCATCCAGAGCCTTAGGTGAGGCCCACCCCTTCCAGGTTTCTCCATCCCCCCCCCAATGGTGGTGTTTGATGATGGAGCCCCCAGGATGGGTCAGCTGTGGTACCTTCTCTCAGGCTGAATAGTTTTGCAGCAGAGGAGTCCTTCAGCACTTGTTTGACAAAGATCCCCTGGTCCCCTCCACCTGTGACAGTGTAGCCACTGGCTCCGGCCTCTACCTCAGTGTTCAGGGTCACTTCTGTTGCCTCCTGCATGGTCTGGGCAGAAGAAGCACACGAAAGGCATGGTGTGCATTTGCCCATCTCATATGGGCATGACTGCAGTGGGTGGTATCCGTGCTGCCTGGGTAGAGGTTGCAGCACCACCCAAGTGGGCCAGGTTGCTGTGGCCAGCTGTGGACAGCCTCAGGCAGAACCATCTCCCCTTGTCCCCACAGGAGACAGCCTGCCTGTGCAGCCTGTCCCCAGGGGAGAGGCTCTTGCCAGCCTTCCTTCTGCTAATCCTTCACTGGCTTGTTACAAATATGTGAGGATCCATCCCATGTAGCCACCAGTGCTGGCTCCCAGTGGGGACACAAACACCGGGGAAGTCTGTAGCCCACCTGATCCAGCAAAGGATGGCCACTTTGATGGGTACCCACTGAACCCCTCCCATTTCCCTTGGCCAAGGCCGCTCCTTACCACAGTCTGGCTACTCTCTTCCACAGTGTTGCTCTCTGCACACTGAAGCATGGTTGTACACGTGTTAGTCAGGAGTCAGACTCTTTCCATTAGAAGGCAGGTACTAGCCTCCGCATCTGCCCCTCCCAGGCCTGAGGCACAGGGTATGCCCCTCCCTCCATCTCCTGGGGCTATTTTCTGGCTTGTCACGGGTGTGGTACCTACCTCTGGGTGACTCATGCTGGAGAAAGCTGTGGATTCCCCTGAATCCCTTTTCCACCAGGATCTCCGTCTGCCAGAGGAGCTGCGCCTGCCCTGGTTGCTTTCCTGCAGTCAAGGGGTTGGGAGTTACCACTTACTCTACTAAGGAGACGGGAGTGCCAGGGAGGCTCCGGGAAGGGGAACCCAGGATGCAGGGGTACAGGGATTCCAGGGTGCGGAGTGTATAGGGGAGCTGAGTACCCAGGCCCTCACTAGGAAAGGCAACTGTCAGCCTCCTGTTTTCTCTCTGGGGCACAGGGATGCACCCATCCTACAGCAGCTGGAAGTACTTTAGAGTGGGGAAGATCCTCAAAGTGTAAAACAGGTCCTTGGCATAGTCAACGCCATGGCTCCTCTCACAAGGAAGTTCACAGTCTCCTCTCCAAGGTGGCATGAGTGTACATGTGTATGTATGTGCCATGAAGACGTATGCTCCTGCCACACCCCACACACGGATTCTCAGAGTCTGTCTCACACACACACTACACACACACAAGCTGCAAGTGTCCCCACCTCCACAGTGGCTCAGCCAGCTAAAGGGAGGGACACTGGAGGAGAAGGCAAGACCAAGTGCATACAGCAGGCAGGGCAAGCGGGTTGCACAGTCATGAACAGAGAATAGTGGCACTTGTGGGCCACACCTACGCCTTCCTTCTGCCAGTTGGTCTGCCCAGTAGGCTTACCTGGGCTCCGAAGCCAGCACCTTCAACTGTGTATTCATAAACAGGTGAGGACCCCTGCGGCCTCGGCCGAATGATCTCACCCACAGGCCCTTCGGTCACCTGGCAGAAAATAATAAAGTCATCTCCAAGCACTAGCCCTCCAGGCTGGGGGAAGATGGGGTGGAGTGACACTCACAGAATGGTCCTCTTCAGTCTCAGCCCCTGGGTCCTGCTGCTGCAGCTGTCGACCAGATGCTGTAGAGATAAAGGCTGTTAGTGGACATGAGGGCCTGAGGGATGATCCAGAGACCCTGGGTGGGGGCAGTGGGAGCAACCGCAGGAAAAGCATCAGGGATTTGGGCGCTCAGACATTATACAGATTTGCAGGTTTAGTCCCAGAAAGAAACAGAAACAATAACTTCCCTGAGCCTGAAATTAATATCCAGAATTGCAATATGTTCTGCTAGATGTCCAGCATCCATCCAAAAATCACAGGCAGTAAAAAGAAACAAGAAGGGGGAGGAGCAAGGCACATGATGGAAGAAAGGTGTCTCTGAGAGTCCACAAGTGACGGAAGGTGTCTCCAAGAGTCTGCGATGCTCATTTAACACAGACCCCAATTGACCACTCTGAGAGTCCGCGATGCTCATTTAACACAGACCCCAACTGACCACTCTGAGAGTCCGCGATGCTCATTTAACACAGACCCCCAACTGACCACTCTGAGAGTCCGCGATGCGCATTTAACACAGACTCCAACTGACCACTCTGAGAGTCTGCGATGCGCATTTAACACAGACTCCAAATGACCACTAACGGATTATTTAAAACACTAAAGGAAACCGTGTGTAGATTTGGAGACTGGTGGCAGGCCCTCATAAAGAAAAGGAACTTTCAGGGGCTAGAGATGTATTTCAGACTGTTTGCCTAGCACATACAAAGTCCTGTTTCAATTTCTAGGACTGCAAAACCCAGCATAGTGGGGCAACCTGCAACCCCAGCACTTGGGAGGTAAATGCAGCAGGACTGGGAGTTCAAGATTATCCTCAGCTATATATTTTCAGGACAATCTGGGATACATGTTACATGTATTACATAAAAATTAATAAACTCAACCCTGAATTTTTAAAGCCAAAATTGTGAAAATTCTGGAATGGATTATGCACTAGAGAGACTCAACAGTAGATTGGAGGAACCTACAGCAAGCACTTCAAACTGGACTGCATAAGGAGTTTGAAGAACACAGAGGAGAAGCTGACAAAAGCAGAGCATCGGTAACCTGCAGGGGCAAGAAGAGGAAAAGACAGAAAACGTACCGAAGAAGCAGTGGATGGAACCATTTGGTAGAACCGAGAGGCTCAACAAATCCCGAGCAAAAGAAACACACGGAGATCTTTATACAACAAACCATGGTCAAATGCTTGAGATAAAGTGGCCCAACACACGGACGGGCACAGAAAGACCACTAACAACCAGCTTATCAGCAACAAGAAATAAAAGTCAGCCCTAGACCTGGTGAGACCTGGTGAGACTCAGCCAGTAAAGATGCCTGGCAACCAAACCCCAGGACCCATGAGACAAACAGAGAGAACTGACCTCCATATAAGCACCATGGCATGGGGACCTGTGTAGACACACACACACACACACACAGACACACACACACACACAGACACACACACACAGACACACACACACAGACACACACACACACACACAGAGTCTAGGCAACACAGCAAGACAATGACTCAAAGTAAAAAAAAAAATTGTATTTTTGTTTTTCAAGACAGGGTTTCTCTGTAGCTTTGGAGCCTGTCCTGGAACTAGCTCTTGTAGACCAGGCTGACCTCGAACCCATAGAGATCCGCCTGCCTCTGCCTCCCAAGTGCTGGGATTAAAGGCATGTGCCATCACCATATGACTCAAAGTAAAAATTAAAGCGAAGTCAGGGTGTGGGGAGCTGGTTTTTTAATCCCCACATTCCAGAGGTAGATGCAGATGGATCTCTGTGAATTCAAGGGCAGCCTGGTCTACATAGTGGAGCCCGGAGTGAGCGTGTAAGGAACAGGTGAGGCCCGGAATCAGTGTGTAAGGAACAGGTGAGGCCCGGAGTGAGCGTGTGAGGAACAGGTGAAACCCAGAGTGAGCGTGTAAGGAACAGGTGAAGCCCAGAGTGAGCGTGTAAGGAACAGGTGAAATCTGGAGTGAGCACGTGAGGAACAGATGAAACCTAGAGTGAGCGTGTAAGGAACAGGTGAAGCCCAAAGTGAGTGTGTAAGGAACAGGTGAAGCCCAAAGTGAGTGTGTAAGGAACAGGTGAAGCCCGGAGTGAGCATGTGTCACTGACAAAGACCAATGCCTCAGACCCGTGGAAACTGGCAAGGCCCTCCTCTAGTCTGTGTGCAAACACTGACAGAGGGCACAGAAAGCCCCACTGCAGCATCCTCCTCCCAGATGACTGCGGCTGAAACGGTGCCCTGTGGAGACTTAGCAGACGAGCTAAGCCTTCCTCGTGCTGAACGTAATAAATGCACTGAGGGTTCAGGCCGTGTAGCTGCTGCTCCACCGTCAGAGTGAGCGTGGCCTACTCAGCCCCACTGGAAAATGGTCTGCCGGCAACACCAAGGCCACTGCTGTCCACCCGCTGGCCCTGCAGCTTCTGAGCCAGGCACAAGCTAGTCACCAGCGTGTCATCATCCTAGTGGCAACTGTGCTCATCTCTACCCTACAAGATTATTATTTTTATTTTTCATTTTTATTTTTTTAAAGATTTATTTATTATGTATGCAGTGTTCTGCCTACATGTATCCCTACAGGCCAGAAGAGGGCACCAGATCTCATTACAAACGGTTATGAGCCACCATGTGGGTGCAGGGAATTGAACTCAGGACCTCTGGAAGAGCAGACTGTGCTCTTAACGTCTGAGCCATCTCTTCCGCCCCAGTTTTGTTTGGTTTTGACATAAGGTTTTTTCCAGGCTGTCCTGAAACTCACAGAGATCCACCTGCCTCTGCGTCCTGAGTGCTAGGATTTAAGGTGTGTGCCACCACACACCCAGCACCCTACAAAATTTTTAAATGATATAAATCAAGGCACTGTCTCTGTGCCAGATATAGTGTTTATTAGTCAGAAGCTAGAAAGGCAGTGTGAGTGGTCTCTTCTTGTCCCCTGCTTGCCTCTGTAAATAAAGTTTTATTGGGACACAGAAGAAACAAACAAAATTTCCCCACACAAAACTCCAGCCTATAGCCCTGATTTCTGCTAAATATCCATAGGAAGAACAGCCCTGATGGACAGGGACTGTGGCCAGGCCTGGGCTCCAGGGCTACCTCCACAAGGTGAGCAATGCTGAGGATAAAGCCCCACCCCTGCTTCAGGCTTGTCTTGAGGGGTGGAGTCCCTGTTACTCAGAGGTTGTCTCCCTAGGTAGTGGACCTGTGCACTGACCTAGATGACGTTCCCACAGGGACAAGGAGTTCCAGGCCTAGCAGGATTCTGGCTGTAGCTACTTTGCTCTGGCCAACCTGGATTTCCCTAGCATGCAGGGGTCACCCGCCAGTCCTGACACACCTGTCCCCAGCCGCACCCTGGAGCTACGCCTTTCAGTCCTTGCTGCTCTCCCTTCTTCTCCTGCCTTTTCTGCTGTCCCTCTGCAGAGCAGCTCTGAAAGGGCTGGGATGGAGCTTCCTGGGGTTGGTCCTCCCAAGAGAAGTGGGAGGGTCAAAGTTGGCCTGCCAGGTCCCACCTGTCCTTCCTGCTACTCCGTGGGCGAAACCATGGACTCTGACCTCCAGGACATCAGGAAAGCAACCTTCTCCATTTATAAGACTGACCTTAGGCAAAATAATAGCCAAGGAACCCAATATCCCTGGAGCCCCCATGTGCACGTCCCATAATCCGGTGGTAGAAGGGGCATGTGCCAACCATCTGCCTCCATCACCATCCCCCAGTCTCTGTCCATGCACCCATCACTGCTCGGAGAACCCATATTGACTTACGGGGTCAGGGGATATGGAAACGGGGTGGCTATAGGAGGAACACCGGGTCAACCACCCTTCCTGGAAACAGGGCAAGTGTAGACAAACCTATGTCTTCCTGTTTCCCTGCCTGAGGCTGGAACTTTGGCCAGGACCCAGGCCCAACCAAGCAGTGAGCTACCCTGAGAAACTGTATTCCAAATCTGTTTCAGGGGAGTCTCGTGGATGTCGAAAGCCTATGAAGAAAGGTGTTGACACCCGGGACGTGGGCAGCAAGAAGCGGACTGGGCTTCGGGTCCCTTCTCCGGCTTAACAAGTTTCAGTACAGCCAATCCCACCCACACACCCCCTCTTCCTTGTAAGGATAGGGAGCAATGGCTGAGAAGAGGCATGCACTCTGCCACTAGGCTGCACTCCAGGGGTTAGCAGGATCCCCTACCCAGCACTGCACAAAGAGGAGAACAGCAGGTCTCCTGACTACAGGATGGTGCCTACTCCTAGCAGCTGTGGGAGCAAGGCGAGCCTCAGGGCCGTCTCATCCACCCAAACATGACTCCCAGGGCCCAGGGAACAGGGAAGCACCCTAACTGCCTGCCCACGTACGTCTCTCAAAGGCAGCTCTGTAAGCAGCCCAGCCTTGAACACTGCCACTTAAATAATAACACGGTTGTTGACAGTCACCAAAGCGCCGTTTTATAGAGGAGGAAATGGGGACACACCTGAGCCAAGCCTAGCAGGTCTGGCCACTGTCACCTGATATTTCCCCCAATTCCCTACCCCCCAGCACCCCAAGCCCTTCACACAGCTCTAAAAACTGCTGCTAACATCCCACTCCTATATGTACAAACCTGAACTCAGGAAGGGACCCCAGGACGCTACAGAAGCCACTGGCTCACCACGGCACAAGGACACAGTTGGGGCACCACGGGGCAACCCTGGTTTGGAGAAGATGGAGTTCTAGGAACTGAAATATTTTAGGGTAAGGCTGTGCAGGTCAGCCTGGGGGACAGACGGGAGGCAAGCAGGGGCTGCATAGAGGGGCATACTGCCCCCACGATCCATGGTCACCTTCATCCCAGTAGGGCAATGGAGGCAGGGTGGGGCATTCACTTAAACAAAACTAGAGTTTGCATTCAGACTGCTTTGACTTTCATGTGGGGCCTGGTGTGGCAGCCATGTTTTCATGTCACCAGGGTAGCGGGATCCTTAGGAAACTGGCCGAGAGAACGCAGCTCTGCAGTCGCCTGTGGGTTTGTGTGTATGGGTGCACCGGTGCACATGTGTCTGGTCAGGGCTGCCCCTCTGAGCACCCAGGGACAGCCTGACATAAAGCACTGGCAGTGGAGGCCCAGGGCAGCCCACGCTATGAAAGCTACTGTCTTCAGACTGGGATCCTGGTGCCCTCACTGGCTCACACCGGCCAGATCCACCCCGCCTCGCATGTATTCGGGCCTCACCCCATCTTGGAACTCCATAAAGCAAGTGCTAAGCTGGGCTGACTGTCATGAGACCTTCAGACCTTGTGAAGCAACACCCCAGGCGGTGGTGGGCCTGCCCACTCCAACCCCCAATGCTCTGTAGATGAGGCTGAGGACTAGGGAACAATGCCAGCTCGGAAGGGTTGAACCACACCGTCCAGGGCCAGAGCTCTTCCCCACATAGGCCAGCTACGCCCTGGGGGATGCTCTCATTTTTCTCTCCCAAAATAAGCTCAGCCTCTCCACCTGACTCAACTCATTGCTTCCTCCTGTGTCAGGCCCTCTCCAATGCTGGACTTTTCACTGCTCACACACACAAACTCCTCCTGAGGCAAACTCACAGGCAGTGGGTTGGGTCTTGGTCCTGTTGTTGTCTCTGCATCCCAAGCACTTGGAGCTTAGTATACAGTAGGCACAAAATAAATGCTAGCACAAGAAATGGCTGAGGAAGGGAAGAGAATGAGCTGGTCAAAACTCCTGGCAGTGCTAAGTGTGGTGATGCGGCCATTAGTCCCAGCACTCGAGAGGCAGAGACAAGAAGACAGGAAGCTCCAGGCCAGCCAGAGCAGCAGGTGAGCTCAGGCCAGCTCCTGTGTCTGGAGAACCCGAGACATAGAAAAGTATACTGACCCATCAAACCAAAAGATTCAGAAGCCAGCAGGAATGGCCACACCTTCAACCATCCATGAATAGACCGACCACCCTGATCCTTTGAGTAGAAGGGCCAAACCCTGGACCCCATGAGCAGTCCACTGCTCCGGTCCCACCTCAGGTAACCCCAGTGAACAAGTCAGGTCTTGTCTGAGCTACCTTCAAAACCATCCCAGGCCTCTGTACACCAAACAAGGTCAGTTGCCACCATCTGAGGACTTCTCCCTAGGCCACAAGGCCCAACCTTGAGATTCTGTGTCTACTAAAATACCTTTGGCACCAATGTCCCTCACAACCTGGGCTCTCTCCAAGCAAAAACCACTATTCACACCAGGCAGGGCAGGGACATGGGCAGCTGGGAGTTCTGTGGCACCCCACAGCTGGGATGAAAACCGGGGGAGGGGGGGGGGAGGAGTTGGGGGGGCAGCTGGGAGTTCTGCGGCACCCCACAGCTGGGATGAAAACCGGGGGGGGGGGAGGAATTGGGGGGGCAGCTGGGAGTTCTGTGGCACCCCACAGCTGGGATGAAAACCGGGGGGGGGGAGTTGGGGGGGCAGTTGGGAGTTCTGCGGCACCCCACAGCCTGGGATACCAACTGGGGGACAGCTGGAAGCTCTGTGACACCCCACAGCCTGGGATGAAATCCGGGAGGGGCAGCTGGGAGTTCCGTGGCACCCCACAGCCTGGGATGCAAACCGGGGGGGGGCAGTGGGGAGTTCTGCAGCACCCCACAGCCTGGGATGAAAACCGGGGGGGTGCAGCTAGGAGTTCTGCAGCACCCCACAGCCTGGGATGCAAACCGGGGGGCGGGGGCAGCTGGGAGTTCTGCAGCACCCCACAGCTGGGATGCAAACCGGGGGGCGGGGGCAGCTGGGAGTTCTATGGCACCCCACAGCCTGAGATGTCAACGGGGGGGGGCAGCTGGGAGTTCTGCAGCACCCCACAGCTGGGATGCAAACCCGAGGCACCGCTCCAGAGCCTGCTTGGTTCCAGGCATCTGGGGTCCAAACAGCTCCTTGCTAGCATTTTCCCAACCCAGCCTGGCTGGCCCTGGCACAGTTAGCTGGAGCCACAAAGAACTGATACCTCTATCCTTCAACAAGGAAGACGCCCAGCCCAGCGCCGTCCCTCCAGCCTCCCTTGCTGGCTGACCATTCGGCCCCTCTAACCTGCAGAGTGGTGAGAGGGGCAGGTGTTGCAGGGCTGAGCCCAGAAGGGGACGGGGTGCAGAAGGGGTGCAGCCACTTCTCCGAAGAGGACTTCTTCCCAAACTTGTCTAGAAGAAATCCTGGACTGGCTGCCTCCCACCAGTTCCTCCCCTCCACAGCCCCTCCCCTCACTGTCCCTCCTCCCATGTCTCCCATGGCTCAGTGCCCTGCCAATCCCCCCCCCCTTCCCCGACACACACACACAGACACATACACACCCTACCAGAGGGAGTGGGCGGTTCCCCTCACAGGCTCAGTCTCTGGGAGCCAAGGACCCCACCCCAGCTCCCCACCCCCACCAGCCCAGGCAGCTGACCTGGAGAGGAAACGCCTGCCATCTGACTCACAACCACTAGCCCAGCCAGCTACTGACTGTGTGAGCAGTCGCCTGCTGTGTGGATATTCAGATATGAAGCAGGTTCTCCCATTCCCAGGCCTTGGGCCTCGGTTTCCCTGTGGTGTCTCGGGGTTCAAAAAAGGGAAAGGGGCTGGATGTGGTGGTTCATGCCAGCACTTAGAAGATAGAGAAGGCAGATCTATGTGAGTTCGAGACCAGTCGAGTATACGTGACAAGTTCCAGAACAGTCAGAGTTACAGAGTGAGACCCTGTCTTTAAAAAAAGAAAAGAAGGAGAAAGGAAGTCTGAAAAGGCTAGCTTGACCCCCAACACACCCAACATAACACTTTCTAGTCGTTTGGCAAATGGCATCTTCTGAACTAGAGAAGAGGGGTACTCTATAGCTGTGGCTGCACCTCAAAACTGGCATTCGTACTTTACTCCCTTGGTTTTCAGAGGCTGGGGAACCTGCCCCCTTGGGCTTCAGACCTCCAGTCACCCACTGCCCAGAGCTGTTCCCTCTCACATGCCTTCTGCCATCTCCACCCTCAGCTCATTGCTTCCAACCCCTCCTTGTTCTAGGTAACCAGCAGGCCTGGGCAGGAGCCACAGATGTACTAGCATGGTTCTGCAGGGCCCCCAGAGTTGGCTGTGGGCACCTGAACCTAAGGGCAGGCTGTAGCAGGCTCACACAGCTAACGGGTCCAGCCCAGGGTTCCAGGACAGGAAAGGGTCAATGTGGGCAGTCCTGCCAAACATCGGCCCAGAAATGAGAGCCACTGGGAGCAGAAGAACCAGGCCCTGTACTGGGATACAGAAGCCAAGAGCAGACTGAGGTGGAGACCACCTCAGAGTGCTCCAAGGAAGGGAGAGGGCAGAGGTCACTGGTGAGCAAATAGGCAAAGAGGCCCCAGAGTGATCCCCAGTCCTGGGAGGGGAAGAACTGGCAGGCTTCCCCCTACCTGGCCCTAAAAACCTAACGGTGAGAGTGGAAAACATCTGCTTACAGAGCACAAGGAAGCTGGCGAGGTCTGCTCCCCACCTCCGGCTCCAGGGCCCCACTCCCAGGCAGCTCTCACCTGGGAACTCTATTTACTGCCCAACACCAGACCAAACTGTCAACTCTAGGTGGGGTGAGGCTGCCTGAGTCAGCGAGGAGCTGCAAGCTGGGGCAGTGTAGCTAGCCTGAGGTGGGAAGGGTGCTGGCAATAAACAGGTCTTGCTGCCACCATGCATTCTCCTGAGCCTGGCAAGCAATCCAGTCAGACCCCTCTGCCCCCAGGCCACTGCACAATGCCTTCTGACTCCTCCTGCTCCTTCTGTCCCTTGCCCTGCTCGCCTGGGGGCTCTGAGATCAACAAGGCAATAGCCTTAGCCAGAGTCCCATCTCGCTGTAGCCAGAGGGATGGTCCCTGCCAGGGGACCTGCTGTTGGGTGGCTGGGTCATCTTCCCAAACTGAGTGGGTCGTGATCCCCCAGCACAGGCCCTGCCACAGAAGGGCACACTGCCATCTCCACCCCCATGCTCTTAGCTGAGGTGCACGGCTGCACCAATAGCTCCTGAGGTGACAGGGATTTGGTCAGGTGACAGTAGGATCACTATGATTCTAAAGGACCTCACGAGCTGCCCCTGGCCCAAATCCAACCTATAGGGGCTCACTTGACTCCGCAGGCTTTGCCTACCTCAAATCCCAAGGATGCACACACACACACCCTGCTCCAGAGGCCAGGAGTGAGTCGGTGGAAGGCAGTGAGCATCTGCTGAGTCACGAATCACAGACCCTAAGACCTACGTGTCTGGAAGTGTCAAGTGATGCCCACTGCACAGGCACGTCTAGCTTGAAGCTGCCAGGACCCCAGCCCAGCTCTTTGATGCCATGGGAACTTGGCAGTAACAAGATGGGGTGGGGCCGGGGGCAGCTGATAGTGACTCAGCTGAGGGCATTCCCAGGGGATGTGTCACGGCACAGCCTGGGTGCTGCTGCCACCCTCCCACCCTCTAGCAAGGCCTGCCAAGGAAGGAGCCACCCAATAGAAGGCTGGCCCCAAGCATCTGTGGCAGGCTGTTCTTCTTCCTCCCACAGAGGGTCCAGCTCTCAGGACACAAGGACCACTAGGACATCAAAGAAGACATGGGAGAGGGACAAGGCAACTCGAGCTCAACGCTTGCAGGCTGGTTCCTGCTCTGATCTCAGTTCAAGGTAACAGGGGCCATGACTCGGCTGAACTTGCAAAACCCAGTGCTGGGTAGTTCCCAAGGGGCAGGTGACAAGCCTGTGGACAAGGAGACCCAGGTCCGGTTGAGGGCCCGGGCTGTTTGTGCCCTCACTGCCAGCACTACCTCCAAGCAGGAAAGAGACTTGAGATCCCTTCCTGGCCTGCCTCACAACACCCAACAACTCTGCCCACCACTCCTTCCTCATCATTGGGATGCAAGGACCAAAGGTACAGCCAGGACCCTGGTGAGGCACCTCAATGCTATCTTCTGTCCTCACCCATACAGACCGGGGCCAGGTGTGTACTGCAGCATGCTGGGCAGGGAGGAGCTCAGCAGGAGTGGCTGGGAGGGTTTCTGCCATGTGTGGGGCGTGGGGAGTGGGGAGAATAGCCTCCCACCCCAGGCCTCCTGGGCCCAGATCCAATTTTCCGTCTGAGAAAGTGCTTCTGACTATTAAATATTTATCCCAGCAAGGCAGGCCTTGGCTCCCTTGGCCCATGACTTCCAAAAAAAGAAAAACAAAGGGAAACCCGGGAGGCAGAGGGGGAACAGGAAGAGGAGAAAGGGCCCCTGGAGAAATACCCTTCTCAGGGCAACAGCTTCCCTTAGAGTGGGGTCCAGGATTGGTAGCTCAGTGTCTCCACCAAACTAAGCCTGCCTGAGCTCATAGATACACCCTCCCCTCTGTCCAACTCCATTTCCCCTGGCCCTGGCCCCTGCCCAAGAACTACCCAGATCCAGCCTGGTGAACATGGTTACTGTTGCTGTGGCCTCCCTCCTCATGGACCCCAGTGACTCCTCTGTGTGCCCAGGCCACTTCCCACTTGCTAGACAAGCAACGGATGAATCTCTGCTCTCCCTCCTAAGTCTGGGGCGTAGTGGTACTAGCGCTCAGGCACAGATGGAGCGGCGGACAGGCAGAGATGAGTAGGTATCTCTCACCCTTGACTCCATCCCTCAGTGGGCAGAGGATAAAGCCAGCGAGAGCTTGACTCTTTGTTCCCAGGTGACAGTGATGCCCAGGTAGATAAGAAGAGTTCCACTCTTACTGCCAGGGCTCAAGCCTCTCTTCCCTAGCCAAGCTGGGCCAAGCTGCACCTGAAACACAAACATCTTCAGCAAAGGGTGTGGAGGGGGTCACAGATAGCTAGAGTAGAATGTTTCCATTGGGGCAGCAACTAGTGTGCCCAGGACAGAAGAGCCTGTCTGAACAGAGAGAATAAAGGCATTGCTGCAGGCCCAGCCAAGTGGAGATGGGCACAGCTGCCTGGCACAGGAGATTGGGAGGCTAGGGGACCTGCCAGCTTGATCCTCCTGCCTACTCTCAAGCCCAAACTACCCCTTTCTTGGCTGACAATAAAAGGCAGATACAGCCTAGGGTTTGGAGAGAGCAGGATGAAACACTGTCCTGTCCTCTAAGCCATCCAAAGCAAGAGCCTTGCCGGGTGGTGGCGGCACATGCCTTTAATCCAGAACTCAGGAGGCAGAGGCAGGCAAATCGCTGAGTTCCAGGTCAGCCCGGTCTACAGAGCAAGTTCCAGGACAACAAGGGGTAAGCAGAGAAACCCTGTCTCAAAAATAAATAAATAGAGGGGGGAAAGAAAAGAAAAAAGAGCCCTGGGTGTTGTTAGCAATTGATACAGCCCCAACAGTGGCTTTTAGACGAGGTCGGGTGCATGCAGGGTGGTATGGCCGTAGACAACAGTGTCTTTTAATCCCACCCATTCAGGTAGGGAAGTGATTCAGGGAAACCCCCACTACTTAGGAACCATCAGAGCCCAGTGTCTTTTGTGCCCTGCCTGGGAGAGCAGGACAGCTAGTACCTTTCAGAATCACCCACCTCTTCCCTCAGCTGGGGCCCAGAGAGTTCCACCATGACACAGGGCTCAGCATCCCTGCTTCAGTATAGATTCCTACCAGTATGAACACCCTGTCCAGGCGACCCTCGCTGAGGCACAGCTCGCTCTCATCATGGCAGCCCAGGCACTCCTGGGCACAGATGTCAGGTCTGGACCTACACCCTGACCCCAAGGCTGGCTACCTGAACAGCTGCTCTGGCCCTATTCTCTGGGGGAAGAAGCTAGCCCAACCACGGTCCCCAACACCAAAGAAAGAACATTCAGATGCCTCTCATGATGTCACTGCACCCGGGGACTCCCCAGATCCAGCTATAGTTTCTTGAAGCATGCTGGGAGTTAGTGCCTAGGCCATCCTGGAAAACATGACTCCCAGCCACTCCAACTCTCTGGGAAGAAACCCACATACATACCCTGAGGGGTATGACATCCAGCACCTATGGGGGTAAACTCCTGAGTCAGTCAGGAAACTTGTGTAAGGTCCATCTCACAGTGGGTGAAGGTGTTTGAGCATTCCTGCCTTGGGCATATCCCTATACAGCTCCACCCCTCCCCACCCTCGCCCAACCTTGTGTAGGTGCATTCCCAGCACATCCACCAGGGGGCAGCCTCTGCGCTTGGAACAATGGTGGCTCTGCCCTGGGAGATTGCCAGCGTTGGGCACCAGGGCTTTAAGAGACCAGGTATGACTGGCATAGGAAGGCAACTCTGCCTTGTGGGGAGTGAGCTGCAGCTG